AGCCTCTGAAATGATTTTTAGATACTGTTTTATTTATTTCATATGATACTGTGTTATTGTGAGTTTTTTAGATGAGGAGTTTATATTTCATAGTTGAACGCACTTGAATCATTACGGGAAAGCATCTTAATTATAAAATATAAGAATAATGATTTGTTTTTACTCCTCAAAATATTGTTCCACGAATACATTCCTCTTGCATTTTTGTCCTTATAATCTGCATCCGTTATCGTCTGAAGTCGAGTTGTTTGAAGGCTAGCCCTGTGGCTCTTGTGTTCTTGGTGGAAGTTGGAGGAAAGAGTTGGGTAGTGGTTCGGGGGCCCTCAGCCACGGCACTTCCCACCAGAGCGACCTCTGACCTCTGGTGCCATTAATCACTAGGCTTCTGATGGCCGTGTCCCTGGGGAAAAATCAGTCCGGGGCAAAGGATGATGGGAGGTGAGGCCTGCAGCCAATTACAGATAGACTCAGAGCAGACCAATGGACAAATCAGGTCTTTACAGAGAGATGAAACGCCCAATAGCTGTCTGCTTGAGGAAGAGATGGTCTTGTGTTGGTTGTGTTGGTAATCATAAAGTCTCTAGTCTTCTCTAGTGGAAATTAAGCATTGAGGTTGAAGTGGGAACAGGTATTCCACCAGAGCAGAGTGCATGCGAGGCAGAGTGCCACTGTGATCAAAAGAGATGTTTGGGCCTGGTCTAATTAAGCCTGTTAGAGCTAAATGTCTCCAGGGTTGGAAAGGGAGCAGATGTTGAACACCAAAGGCTGGTGACATGCTGGTTTTCGCAAATGAGGGAACTGTCTCTGGCTAACTGCCCAAGCCTTGCTAATGTGATTTTTGCTCAATTACAGTATTATTAAAGGTGTTTTCCCACTGCTTTCACACGTGGCTGAGCAATGTTGAAATGTGAAACGTGACTGATGTCACACATGGAATAATTAATCCTTTTTTTTTTTTTGTTTTTTAAAACCACATCTGGTCCACTGAAGATGTATAAATGGATATTTGTGTTTGTTTTCTTCTGTCTGAAATTGTTAACTTTTTGGCTTTATGGGTTATGTTCTAAAATTGTATGTAATTAATAAAGTCTTGTTTTGACTTTATTGTACAGCAAATGATGACAGAGGTGTTGGCGTGAATAAAAATCCTAACCAGCTGCTGGCCTGTCACTATGGGGCCAGCGTTGTTGTCTCATTTGTTGTGCTGTCATTGTTCACAGCCTGGCCTGTATGAAAACATGGCTTCCTGCTGACCTGCAGTTTAATTCACACATCAATAACCCCTGGCTGATCTCTGACCCCCTTAGTTGTATTAATTGTTTAATGTAGGATTGATGTCCAGCACTGCACCAAAGAATGATGGTCGCAGTGTAGCGCTGCTGGTCCTTTTGATGCATTGCTTGTTAGTAGAAAATTTAGTAGAAGCTCTCCATTCTTCACCTGCTACATTTGAACATGTCAATTGGCCAATGGCAGCTGTTTTGCTGGTTTTTGCTTTGTGTTGATGTTGTGTTTTTTAATATATATATATATATATATATATATATATATATATACAATTTCACTATCAGTCAAGCTTTGAAGTCAAACTTTGATGGAAGCTGGCACCTTCACCCAGATATTAGCGCCAAAGAAAAAGCTGCATGCCAAAATGAAAACAAAACTGAGCGGTTTAAATCATTCTAGAAAATTTTATTCATTCATTTATTGGGGTGAATGAGCAATTTATCCAAATCTGTTTAAAAAAAACAACATTGCAACAATATAAATTTAAATTTGGTGTTGCTCTTTCCACCTTACTCCCTCTAATACACAGCAACTAATCCACACTATTATTACTCCAATTCTTTCCTTCCTTATTGCACATATTTCATCATTTTAGCAGGTTTTATTTACTTATTTTGATAATCAAATGATCAGAGATAGTGGCGCAACAACTGTGTAACCAAAATAAAAATGTCCCAATTCTAATTCACTAATTCGTCCTTCGATACTCTGGTAAAACTTTTAGTGCCCAGCTAGTCTGGTGCAAACAAATGGGCTGTAAATATGACACATTAATAGTTTAAGTTTTGTTATTCATGATCTTATAATGATTAAGTGGTTAAAAGTACTTCCCTCTAAATATATCCCTCAAAAGAAAAAGTGAGGTAGGACTTTTGTTCATTAGGATTATGGTTAATTTAATGTTTTGCTAAATCCAGTGGAAATGCACACCTAGTCTTAAACAGAAACCTTAAACAAATTCTTGTTCCTTTCTACGACTCATCTTCTCTCTCTTACCACAGGACTCAAACTCAAATAATCTATAAAAGAAACTAGCATCTTGACAAGCTCACTCTTGATTTTCCATTAATTGGCTGTGAAGATAGGATCCCCTTTTCCCACAACAATTTTGTGCAGCTTTAACAAACTAAAAAAAAATCCATCAGCTATAAATACTACATTAGATGTCACCATCGACTGTGTTATTTATTTATATGAATAAAGGTGAACTTTTTTAATTTACTTCATTTTACAGATACGGTGGTCTGTTGTGTCTGTGTGTGTGTGTGTGTGTGTGTGTGTGGGTGGTATTCTTTTAGGTGTTTTCTGCTTTTTATGTGTTATCGTACCTACCAGCTCTGGACTGTCCTTAAATGCTTAACCCTTAGCAGCAGGATCCAAAAGCCTTCAGGCTTGATTAGTGCACAGAATAATGAAAAAGTAGCACCAAAGTTAGCCTGTACTTCCAAAGCCCGTTTAGAGAAAGACTTGTTAATAGTGACTTTTGTGTAACAGGTTAGAGACGATTGATTTTCAGTGGATACAGTAGTAGTAAAAGATTTCCTTGACCACTAACATTAAGACACCTAAAAGGTCATAGTGCTTTGCTAGTGCCATCATGGTGTCTTGATCTCCCCACTCCAAAGGTCCATGTGTTCACCTAGGACCTTTGCACATGGCTTAAAGACATGTTGCTAACTTAGGAAAATGAATCGGGGCTAATCTTCATGGCCTGATCACACTGCTATTTCACAGAGTCATTAATGAGTCCAATTCCAGGTTAAGAGCAGCCTGTGGAGGGGCTGGCGGATTGACTGGCATTAACTGTGAAGACAAATCTGTACGATTTCCCTGTGCTGGGCCTGGCAGCAGTAACGCAGAGGGGTGTGGATTTACTCCGTGCAATCCTCTAAATAAGCTTCATTATACCAGCCTATCCATGAGCCCCCCCGCCCCCCCCCCCCCCCCCACACACACACCACACACACACACACACACACACACACACACACACACACACACACACACACACCCTACCCACCGCTGCCTGTGGATTAGCAGGTTGTCACGATCCTTCAGTCCCCTCCTCCTGCCTCATGCTTACACGGTTGCACATTGCACTTTTTGATTCTGTTTCGTACAGGAACCGCCCACTACCCCTCCCTCTTCATCCACCCACCGTATCCTCCCCTCAAGCTCCCAGCAAGCTTCGCTGCAGATAAGCTGTTGACAAGATTAATGCATCTGTATCAAAAGTCTAGAGCAGCTTTGCTTTGTGTTGTTTGTGAATCCCCTTTTCCAGGTCAAGCTAAATTGCTTAACTGGGCTAATGTGTTTTCAAGGCAAATTTCACAGGAAGTAGCCCTTGCCACCCATGTCTAACCAGTATCCTAACAACCCTTAACAATATGTAGAGGTCACAAAAGTATATTGGGCGCTTCACCATTGACTGATATTTTGAAGCAGAATCCAATTTTCACTGAAAAAACTTCAAATCAAAGTCATTCTTGCCTCTAGGCCGATTTGTGTTGGCAAGACAAAGTGCCTGTTTTAATTAATTAATTAAGAGTCATAACTTTTACTTCAAATGTCACTCAGAAACTGTATGTGTATGTAAGGCTGATAAAAATGCTTAAAGTTTAGTGTTGTTGGCCCACAATGAGCTTAAGCATGTTTTCGCACAGGTTATATTTATAGTACACATGCTCAGTGTTTCATCACAATACAGCTTTTATTTCTGGCTCAATCCAGACTGCTGGCCTAATCAGCCTCACTCAACCTACCAGAGCTCTGAACAAACGCTCACATGTTTATTTGCGATCCGATTACCAGAAAGAAAAACGGTGAGGACACTTTAAAACTTTACCACAATAAAAAGTAGATATGCCTGCCAACACACATTTCTATCTGTCATGGAACTCAACTGTGTAATTGCATCAATGTAGCAACATGATTGACTCATATGATTCCCCTATCTCACATTTGCTTGACTCTTTGTGTGACTCTTTGCTATTAAGATATTCCTTCAGGACTTTCTCCTCTAGTGTCTCTACAAGTCAAGATATTTCAGCAGAAATTCGAGTGTTAAACACAGGTCCTTTTCCATTGTATTAACATTTACACCTTTTTGCATGTTCCAACCACAGACCACTCTAAGGGTTGTGCTCGTGGGAGTTCACGAGTACTTCTGAGTGGCCCTGGAAAAAGAAAAACTGCTGGCTGGGCTCACTGTGACTAATTAAACTGGAAACAACTGCCATTTTTTTTTAACATAGCAGAGGAAAGGTTTATGGTCATTAACTTTAGCCATGCACTGTGCTTAAATAGCAACACAGCCAGTATGTTGATTCTCTCTGCTGCTTCTGTTATTGTTGCTGCTCTGCCTTGCTTTGAATTGACGTGGCAGTCAAAGTGGTTGTTCAGTGCATTAAAAACAAAAAACTTGAAACGGCTGATTAGGATTGTTCCACCTTGCTCCCGCCTTATTTTTTTATTAGATTTTTTTTCCAAAGTAAAGATGACTATTGGTAAAAGTATTTCATTTTAGAGGGAACTCCATTGTGTGTCAGTATTTGGTCAGAAAGAGCCCATTCTCAGCGTTAAGGTTCAATGTCTGAGTATTAAAAACTTTATCCATGTGAGACATAAATGCACTTTGAACCAAAGACATCCTTTGTAAGACATTGTTTATAATTAACTGAGCCATATTTCTTTTCTTTTCCTGTCTTCCGTAGGAACCCCAGTCAATCGTATTCCAATCATGGCCAAGCAGGTCCTAGATCTGTACATGCTGTACAAGCTGGTGACAGAAAAGGGAGGCCTCGTCGAGGTTATCAATAAGAAGATCTGGAGAGAAATCACAAAGGGACTCAACCTGCCTACCTCCATCACCAGTGCTGCTTTTACTCTGCGGACACAGTAGGTCTTTGCATTTGTGACACAAAGCTAACTAATTAAAGGTGCTGGAACCGATTAAAGAATTTCAGCAGCTTTCCTCACCGTGTGGAAGCCAAAAGCTTCTTCAGGCACTAAATATGTTCATTTCGGGAGCATTTCAGCCATCATTTCCAGTTGTCCTTCTCACTATGTCTTTTATTTTAATAATTCCAGCTGTCTAGAGAATTGTTGCGACAGCTAGTTTTACTTCCTAGTATACATACGGAAACACGCCTCCTGCACGCACATGCAAGGATCCGCTCTGGCTGCAGCTTCTAAGTAGACATGTTGTTAGGAGTGTTTGGATTTGTGTGTTGGAATGAGTATGAATGTCATTCATTAGAACCCATACCTGTGTATTTATACACACACACACAAGTTTTCTCCACTGGCCAAACTTTTCTCTTTACCCCGAACCCCTCAGTGCATTACATCACACATGATTGATTTCCATCGATTTAATGATGTGAATTTGGTCAGAGTTCACAGTGACTAAGGTGGGGTTTGATTGACAGCTTATAATGTCGAACCCTGACTAAAACTATATCGCTCTCTGGATGGGAACCCTTTAGCAGAGGTAACACCTCTATCTTGTCCAGCAGTACATATCCCTAATGAGCCTTGATGTATTTTTAATGTTGCTGGACTGTTGTGTAGCATTGGTCGGCTAGCTCTGTCTAATGGATGCTGCTGCTCGTGCTTCTTATTGATCTTTGGTACTTCTATCCCACCATTATGCAGTAAGCACGCATAATGTGTATAGTGTGCTCATTTATGGCATGGAAAACATTGCAGAGCTGTGACTCTGCATACTTGCAGTGCTGCTGTGATGTCATGCAAAGTGCACCAAACATGTTTTGAGCAAAGCTTTAAAGCAGTAAATTCTATATAAATTCATACATTTAAGAAAGGAGGTTACTTTCAGTTTACTGAAGTGGCTTGATTTATAAATATGCAACCTAATGTCTGTTGTAAGGATCAAATATTAGAGAAATAAAGTTGCAAATGGTTTTTAATGTGTGAACGTGCACAAAGGATTTGACAGAATCATTGTGACAGCACTGCTGGAGATAAAAGGTTAGGTCTTTATTCAAAGCAGTCTGTTTTTTGTTCTAAACTAAAGTACAGACAAAAAAACAAAGTCGCAGTGAAATAAAACAGAATTATCTCTACTATCTGAACAAATACACTGAGCTATATACACATTCGGATAAACAGTGCATCTCTCGCTGCACATGTATTGCTTGAAGCAGAATCCAATCTATGTACTGCAGTTTTAAATGTCCCCATGTGTGCTTTTTTTTATGTTCTGTCACATTAATAGAGTGCTGGATGCTCATCTTAAAAAAAAATGGTCAGAGTGTGTTAGCATATGTGCAAGTAATCTTTGTAATAATTTTTTTTGCCTAGTCTTAGCTCTCTGTGTGAGAAAATTGTTAATAGGTTCATCTCAGGTGTTCATCTCTAACTGTGGTCTGAGAAGCCCCGCCCATTTGCTGTGCAAATATTTGTTTGCAGCCAGTCAGAGGAAAAAAAAGTCGTCTTGAAGTTAAGGGAAATGGAACTAACACAACTTGCTTTGGAAAATAAGGACTATTTTAAACTGTAAATGGTGGGGGCCTACTGTAGAAGAGCCCAACAGTAGCTAGGAGTAAATTACCAGAATAGGTTCACCTTAAGTCAAATAGCACTGGACAGTTTTTGAAGAACCAAAATGTTAGACTATTGACAGGCTATTAATGAGACATATTCAGTTTCATATTGGAAGAAGGAGAAAAATGTTTTCTTTTCTTACATATTCATAAAAAAGGGTGCTGATGCCACTGCTGTACATGCTAACAGATTCTCTCATTTAATATTATGTTTCAGCTGTAATGTTTTGATGTAGTCAAATATTACAATATTATTTCTGATATTTTTTGTGCAAATCTTTCTGTCGTGATCTCACGTGTTACTGTGCTTTGCGTTTTCCTTAAGGTACATGAAATACCTGTACCCGTATGAGTGTGAGAGGAAAGGCCTCAGCTCCCCAGGCGAGCTTCAGGCTGCCATCGATAGTAACCGACGTGAGGGTCGCCGTCCGTCCTACAGCAGCAGCCTCTTCCGCTTTTCTCCCTCTCCCAGCACTGCTCCCCACATCCTCTCACCCCCAAAGATGCACCTTTCCAGTCTGGGAGCGGGGGCCTCAGTAGCTATCAATGGCCTTCAGGCCTCACCGGGACCCTCTTTGAAGAAAGGTACGTGTTTGAAAGCTTGAGGTTAAAGAAAACACCAGAATCTGATCTATGCCCTTTGGTTAATAAATAGAAGTGGGGTTTACTTTCTGTTGCCTATCTGGCAGCTCTCAGATGTATATACTGTGTGTTAGTCTAAAGGTCCTTTGGATCAATTAAGGCCACAATGAACTAAGTAAATGTTCATATCAGAAACTTCATACTGGTTACTATAGCTGGGTGCTGCTTGTTAAGAACTTGAAAGAGATTGTAGAGAAATGCTGCCCTCTGTTGCAGTTTTGAAAAACTACACCTGTGAAAACAATTGATAAACCATAAAATAAAACATTAGCTACAGGAACGGCTCCGGTTTTAGTAATTTGATGAGGACTTTTCCCTACATATGGTGCCTGACACTTCGTAGCATTGTGGTCTGTTTTTGTCAAATATCCATGTGAATGTGAGTGTCTGCTTCCGTGTGTGTCCCTGTGTGTTTGTGCATTTTTAGTGTTCATGTCTTTGTATATGTATGGAGTTATCTGGGTGGAACCAATTCTGCCTCAGGCTATCGAGGCCCTCACCTTTATTACGGCTTAATAACATAGTTGGGGACACTTTGTGAACTTTGCCTTTAGTCCACATAGTTGGGATCTGGTTGATAACTGTCATTACACTGCTATCTTTTCTGAAGTTACTTTAACTTTGTTGGTGTGCGACTCAGTTGTGAACCCCAGCAGAATCTGTGCTTTAAAAAAAAAAGGATTTTGACTCATATATTGGATGTAGCTACAAACCAGTTCTACTTTGTTATAAATCAGTGCGTTAAAAAATATTTATAACAACAGAAATTAAATCAGATGGCTAAAGATCAGTTTAATCAAAACGTTTTAGAGACATGTAGAAGGCTTGCAGTTTCTTCTTTGTTTCTCTTTTTGTGTACTTATACTGCTTTCATTACAATCTGAACCAAAACACAGCCAAATGCATTTGTTAAAAAATGTAAAGGAGTCCAGCATAAAGTTTCAGACACAAATTTTGCTTGTCTTCTGCAAAAATCTGACATTCAGTCCGTTTTTTCTGCTGTTCAGCTAAACATTTCTCACACAAAATGCAACTTTTTTGGAGATAGATATACATACTAGTAAAATATAACCGTAACCTATACTGAGTTTTCCATGGTTTTTTAGAGGTTGTGTTTCTGGGAAGTGGTGGTGTTATTTTAAGGTTGTTTCCCTGTGATTATTTTATTTTATTTTATTTTATTTTATTTTATTTTATTTTATTTTATTTTATAGAGAATAACCCTTGTAGTACCCCTGTACTTATAGTCCAAAGTCTTTAATCTTCACAAAATAACATGTTTTAGAAATAATGCAAACTTATGTGGATAACTTTAACTTGCACACATAAAAAGAATAAACATGATTTATCAACACAACTCCATTTGTGGAGTAAGCGTAGTCAGGGCCTACAAGTTTCTGGCTGTTGTATATATTTGTTTTTGCTGGTGAAACACCAAGTTACCGGAGTATTTGTGTTGTGTTACCAGCGCCTCTCTTTAGAAAAGTTCAGTCCTGGGTAACCTGTATATGTTGTAGTTCAAGTGTCCCATTGTGTGAAGTAATGCTGCCTGCTTGTAGCCACTGTGAAACGCATGCCGATAGGGGTGATTGGGTTACTATAATTCGGCTGTGAATAGGAGACATTTCAGTATAACAGTTACTCAGATGTTGCGTACTATCTTCACTGCCCCAGAAAAGGAAATGATACATGTAACCAGATGTCTCCCTACTTCACTTAGAAATTGTGGATCTTCTTGACAGATACATTTGGGGCTTGTCTAAACTCTGGTGTCTTGCAGAATTTGAGGCTCTTTCACACAGCACTCACATAAGCCTTTCTTGAAACATAATAATCATTTGTGATCATTTCATTAAAATTTGTAGTTCCAGTTGCCAGCTTACCTTTTGTCTGAGAGCAAGAAACCATATACATATTTTTGTTTTGTTTTGTTTTGCCAACACACAGACCTCACACTTTTGTTTTTCCATCCATTCTGATGTATGTTGCCTAAATACAAAATTGGAATCATTTGGCTGAGCAAAAACATTGAGGTCCTTCATATCAGCTTTTCTATAGTAGAAAAAAAACCCCTTAAGTACTGGGTTTAGTATAGTACTATGGATAGTACATATACCCACTTGTCCAATCAAGGTGTGGGCTTTACTATTATAGCTCCCATTAGGTAGGACTGATAACCTTTCACATTCACCTTGATAGATTCATGCATTTCAGTTTTCAAGTTACACAGAATCACGAATCACTCCTTTTGACTTATTCAGACTAAACTTCCATTTTTCCTCCAGATGATCTGACCCCACCGATTATGGCTGCAAGACCTTCCATGGCGCTGGCTCTGGGTCAGCAGCAGGTTGCTGGCTTGGCCAGGGCTGCCACACTGGAGCAGCTTAGAGAAAAGCTGGAGACTGGTGGTGGAGAGGGGCCAGAGAGGAAGATGGCCCGCCTGGCAGAAGAGCAGCAGCGCCTGATGCAGCAGGCTTTCCAACATAATCTACTGGCCATGGCTTCCCAAATGCCTATGAACCTGCGTCTGGGAGCCCCTGCTATGCCTACCAGAGGTCAGTGTTGAGAAGTTTGTTGAGATTATGTCTAAAAAAACCCTGGAAATGAAATACAGTGTTTGTTTTTCTATTGAAGTTAGAGGTATCATATCATGGAATCACAGTTTTAGTGTGTTTTGAGACATCTGTAAACTTTGGTGAATGTTTGTGGTGAATATCCACCAATATTCTCCAAAGTCGGGATATCTCTAAAGAGCATGCTGCTATCATGGACCCAAACCTATTGCTGTACATGGGATTGGTAGCAAAGCATGCATTAGCCAACAGAAAAAAATCTTTAAGTGTAAGATATTGTTAACATCTTTTCACTGCTTAAATTTTTTCTTTCTGTGGGGAAACCTGAGCTCGTTTCTTGTTCTCATCAAACCTACCAGGCTAACTCTTCTGCCAAAAACAAATGTGTTTTCCGTTGCAGAGCATGTAGCTGCAACCGATTTACCAAAGCCCATCAGTTAATATGTTTTAAGCTGCAGCAAGAGTTTGCAGAAATCTGCATACATTCTATTCTGTAATTATTTGAATAATTTCATGTATTTCAGGAATAGCTGACAGTGCTCTTTCCTTGGTTAGATGTTGTTAAATTGTTTTTCTTGACCATGGAAATAATTCTGTCATCATGCACATTAGTTGTGTAGTTTAGCATAAACTGTCATGGGTCAAGGGTCAAGAAACTGACTAAATACATATTATGTATTAATGGTGAAATTATCAAGAAAGAAAATACACAAAAATAATCTCTCCACTCTTATTTATGTTTTTCAGAAGAGAAGCAGCAAGACATGTCTCTGAGTATCTCAACCAATGGAAATTCCAGCATTACTGTCTCAGTAGAGGTCAATGGCACAATCTACTCAGGTGTGTATAATAATAATAATAATAATAATAATACATTTTATTTATAGGCGCCTTTCAGACCCTCAAGGTCACCTTACAGTAACACATAAACAATATGACAGATCAGGTGCAATTCTAAACAGATGGGTTTTGAGTAGTGATTTAAAAGTGGTGAGACAGTGTGTGGTCCGTAGAGCAAGTGGAAGTGCATCCAAAGTCTCGGGGCAGAACAACTAAAGGCTCTGAGTCCCATGGTAGTCAGGCGAGCAGGTGGAACTGACAGAAGGGAAGCTGAAGAAGAGCGGAGTGTACGAAGGGGTGAGTATGTATGGAGAAGATCGGATAGATATGGGGGAGTAAGGTTATGAAGCGCTTTGAAAGTGAGGAACAGGATCTTGAAATTGACACGGAGGTGAATTGGGAGCCAATGGAGCTGTTTAAGAACAGGTGTTATATGTTCAGTGGATCTAGTTCTGGAAATAATACGAGCAGCTGTATTTTGAACCAACTGCAGTTTATGGAGGGATTTATGAGGTAAACCATAGAGAAGAGAATTACAGACGAGATGTGACAAGAGCATTGACAAGTATGGCGGTACTGTGTGGTGTGAGTGAGGAACGAAGACGGTTAATATTACGGAGATGAAAGTAGGAAGACCGAGTGATATTATTTATATGTGCTGTGAAGGACAGAGTGCTATCGAGGATGACACAAAGACTCTTAACCTGAGGGGAGGGTGTGACAACAGAGTTATCAATGGATAACGAAAGACTGGTTGGAACTGTAGTCAGTTTTGATCTGGTGCCTGTTAAAATGAATTCTGTTTTATTGCCATTAAGTTTAAGAAAGTTGTGAGTAAACCAGACCTTGATTTCACTTAAACAGTCAGAAATGGATGTGGGTGGGAGAGTAGCTGTGGGTTTGGAGGATAGGTAGAGCTGGGTGTCATCTGCGTAGCAGTGAAACTGGATGTTATGCTTCCTAAAAATATTACCTAGGGGTAGGAGATAGATGATAAAAAGTAAAGGACCCAGGACAGAGCCTTGGGGTACACCGGAATTAACTGGAGTAGATACGAGGGTGGGGATTAGGTAAATTTATTTTGCTTAACCTCTGGAAGGATTCAAGCATCAATGTTCATTTTTAACTAATGACATTTCTCCTTTTTCTTTAGGAACCCTGTTCGCCCAGAAGTCTGGTGGGGCCCCGGGGCCATCTGTGTCTGCTGCTACTGCTACTGCTGTTTCAGCCTCCCCTGCTGGAACCAGCGCAAGCTTTGGTTTTTCCGCACCTCAGGCCCAGAGCCTCAGCCCCGCATCCTCCTCCTCCTCCAAGGGTCCCGGCTCGGCTGAGCCGACCCCCACCGGGTCACCCTAACTCAGGCTGCCCTTTGTACCTTCTCCCCAGGCCTCTGCTCCTGCAGGAGGCCCAGCATGAATATACAGTACAATAAGAAACCGAAAAGAAACTGTTGCACAACAAATACCTCATCAACCTGTCTTGGCTGTCCAATCATGAACACAGAGCCTGAAAATTTAATGATATATCCAAAATAAATTGCTATGCATTTTATTTTGATCTAACACACACACACACACAACACACACACATGCACGCACATACACATAGGAACACAACACTACAACCACATCATGCACAGACACACATCACATATATATACTTGTTAATCCTAATCGACATGCTAAACACAATCAGCTCAGCCAAAACCCACTGACAGGTGTAGTCACAACCGAACTTGAAAAGTTTTATCTTAGAACATTTTGTTTGTTTGTTGCCATTTTGTTGTCTTTTTTGATTTTGTGTTTTAGAATGATTTTTTTTTTAGTTTTTTTTTTTTTTTTTTTTTTAGTTTTTCTCCTTTTACATACCTCAAATCAAATAACCTGCAGTGGTGTCTTTACCTCAGGAGCTGTAGTATATTTAACCTGAATCAACTTTATTTTTATATTCTTTTTGACCTAGTTGCAATCAGGGGAAGTTGGGTAACTGTCACCAGTGGAAACCTGTGTACAGAGCACCCCCCCTCACAGTGATGGGCCTCCAACTGGGGCTGCTCAGGTGTCTTCAACGTGCTGTGGCGTCAAACTGGTGATGATCTGATACTGTAGATCAGCAGATTAAATACCTCATTTCATCCTTTCAGCTGCCCTCAGTTGAGCTCTTGAGAAGTCCATTAGAAAGGTTGCAAAGCTAAAGTTTAAGTAGTTTCAGCTCCACGTGCGCGCACAAAGTTGGGTTAACAGTAACAGGCCCGTTAGAGCTTGCGATTTGTGTTTCACCCATAGCGGTACAGAGAGGTAATACTGAGGCATTCCTAGCTCCTGCAGACCAGATTTGAGTTTGTTGTTCCCCTATTTTTATTTTTTTGTGTGCATCCTTCCTCCAGCTGAATGTCGAGTTGGGTGGCATCGTCATCTCTGACCACACATTGGCCTCTCTGCTTTGGGGAGGGGGGGCAGCGTCTCTCTCAGGAAAAGCAATGTGACAACTGCAAGGAATCACTGTCAGTTTAAAAAGACACAAAAAAAGAGGATTAATACGTGAAGAATGCACAAGCCTATGTGACTGTTTCAAAAATACCTCATCAGACTCTCTGAAAAGGAGAGTAACACTACATACCTCAAAAGGCTGTGAAGCCATCGAGACTTGACGCCCCGAATCCTACGTGAACTGAAACTGTTATGGACGTGCTGTCACACTGCTGGTGGTTTTTGGGGACAAAGAAGTGGGATGGGCTTGATATATTTCTCCTGTATTTACTTGTAGAACGTGTTTCATGCTTGCTTCTTCTTTGTTTTTTGTTTTTTTCCCCCTTTTTTAGGTTCATCAGGTTGTCTGAGAAGAATGATATATCTGAGGTGCTTTTTCAGCAGAGAGGAACAGACAAGTTATTTTTTCATTGACATGTTAATTTTCTTTCTTAAAAAAACAAAACAAAAAAAAACCAATGGTGTTTCCATAGGGGTAAGAAAACAACCTTAAGTTTGACTGTGTATGTTGAAATTGCATCTTTTTTGTGACAATGGCAAAATCATGATATGCATTTGAACAATCATGTGACCAGTGTTTGTTTTTTTTTACACCTCCATCCTCTGGTTATTGCACAGCTACATACCAAAGACTAGCACAGTCAGTCCTTATGAACTCTTTGTACAATCCTGCTAACAGGATGCTGATGCACAGCAAGCAGATCTGTGTTGGACTGCAAAAGGTGTCTCTTTCAGACTCTTTCAAACTGACTGTGAGGTTTTTTTTTCACAATTAGTTAGTGGAAAGTGCATTTAAAACTGTAAAGACTGAAAACCCAATTACATGACTTGTACAGGTGGGCATATTCGACCCTTTTAACAGATTCCATTATTTAAAACTGAAGGCCGGATACAGTGGCCTCATTAACAGTTGCATTTGAATAGTTTGTTTAACCTGTTTGTGCAGTCCCTCACAGACAATGTGGACAGTAGCCCGCATTTTCTTTTATCAATTTACCCCAGGCACAGCTTGATTATGATGAACATGTTATTGTAGGATGCTTTTCTCCCTTTAAAGATTTTTTTAAAAGCATTGAAACCCCACAAAAGAACAACATTTTCTAGCTTTACTTGTGTTGAATGTAAGGCATTTTAACTGTTTAGGCCTTTTTACGCCTAGTGTGGTCTGAGGTGGGCAGCTTTGTTGCTTTTCTTAGATTGTATTTTAGCAATTATGTGTCAGGTTTTGCAGTGCAGATCGCAGGTCAGGGTTTAAGAACCTTTGAGAACTGCGCTGTTAGTCTGTCAGTATAGCCTTCGCAACCTTGTATGACACATAACTGTATTTTATAAAAGGTGAGGAGTATAGATGCTGCCTTAAAATTAGTTGCTGGTGAGATGCAGTCCATGCAGGCTTCCCTATGAAAGTTTTTCTCTTCAGGCTTAATCGTTTTGCTGCCCCCCCCCCCCCCTTTTTTTATTTTATTTTAAAAAATCACACGTTAGACACAAGTTATCCCTCAGTTTCTTGTGTTATCAAGTGAGTTTTGATATTTATTTGTTTTTTCCCTTTTCCTGGTGGACCTTGCTTTTAGTAACAATCTGCATTATTTAGGCTGCCACTAAAATATTTTCTGTTTTCCAAGTCCATTCTTTCTGTTTCTTGTGCTCATTCTAAGCAATGACTGTTTGATGATGTAGCTTCACTGCCTTTGTACATTAGTGTGTTTGTGTGTGTGTGCAAGCAGGTGCAGTATATTGAGTAAGTAATAACATTAAAGGCACTGCAGGTGGCGCCACTGGTGAATTTTTTTTTTTTTAATGCTGAATGAGGAGGTGAAAAATGACTTTTAAGAAATATTTAAGTAGATAAGGTTTATCCACATTTTTCTGCTATATACTCGTACAGTTCCGGTTTGTTCCGAGGTTGAAGGGCATTTTTGGTGGTTCCTCATAGACTGAGTAAAGGGTCACTTTTCTTCCTCAGTGTTTGCTTCAACCCGGCAACCACTCTGGTCACTGTCTTTCAAGGCTCCTGTCACTTGCCACTTGTATGGATAGGTGCATTATGTATAATGTGTTGTGCCTGTATACCTGCATCCATGTGTGGAGTGTGAGTGAGTGTGTGTGCCCCCCCTCCACTTCTTCATACCACATTACCTCAGGGCAGGGAGCTGCATTCAGTGTTGCATACGATGTTGAAGCTGCATTGAGGGATAAATGCTGATAGAAGCTGCGGTCACTTCACAGAATGCTACTTTGGATTTGGTGTCTCTTTTCTTTTTCTTTTTGTCGTCAATAACTGCATTATGGCAAGGTCTCGTTACTCAGGAAGCTGTGAAGTTGGAAGTATGCGGAACCTTTTGATTTTGGAGTCAGTTCAATTTTAAATTGTTTAAAAACTAACCTGATCTGTGTACAAACAGGTGCATATGCAAGTGGTTATTGAATACCTCATTTATCAATTTTATGTTGTTTTTGGCTTGTACAATGCTCCATATATTAATTCAACTGTGGGGTTTGTGCATATTTTTGTACTGTTATTATTATTATGGACATGATAATAATGATATTACTGATATTATAGTTTTCTCTTTGATTAAAGCAAACAAAAAATAGGACAAAACATGAATGCTTGTAAAAACTGGTTTGTGCTGATTGTATTTATGAGGAGCACTTTTCTAAAGTGGTTTTCACACATTCAGTTTTGTTCATATCAGTTAATATAAAGATATGGTTCTCAGGGCTTTTAACTTGTATGTCATGATAAAGTTTTACTTTATATCCTATGTCCCTGTGTGTTGGTTAGTTGCTTTCTTTCCCCCTTTTTCATCTGAGATCACCATATAGGAACACACTAACATGCAATCAACACTCTTGGGGGGGCTTATTGTACATTTTTGCCTTGAAGCTTAAATATTGAAAATTTTTTACAATCCTTCAAGTTAATTTCCAGTAAAGCTAACTTTCTCTTCGTAAACAGTCCTTATTAGGTTAAGTCATTTCAATACCAATACCAAGAAGTACAGTATTGTGCAAAAGTGTCGAGTCACCCTTTGTTTCTTTATACTTTGCTTCACTAAATGGCTAGGGTGTCTTCTTTGTTGTTCTTGTTTTCTTAGGTGATCTTCAAGATTTTGAAAGACAGCAGGTCATGTGGAATCAAGAATATGCAAATGTTAAATTTTTGATTTGAACTGTAAAACACATTGGAGGCCGTGTCATGGCTTGGGCCTGCATTTCAGCCAGTGGCAGTAGGGATGTAAAAGTAAAAGCAAGCTTTTGCCTCACTATTATTCAGGCACTGTGTGATCTTGACAGCAAATGGAATAAAAGTCAGCAGGCCTCCAAAGACTAGCGTTGAATGTCCTTCGAGAAGCCTGGAGAACATTTCTGAAGACAACTTAAACAAATTATACAAAGGCTTGCTTGAGAGAGTTCAGACTATTTGGAAGAATTAATGTATGTGGTAATATCAAATATAGAATTCTACACACTCTGTTTTATGTCTTATATATTGTATTTTCATATATGCTTACACATTTAAATAAATAGCTGCACCTATTGTATTTCCTCTTTTTACTAGCAAAATAGAAATAAATGCGAGGTGGCTCAAGGTTTTTGCACAGTACTATGTCTCAAGACTGAAATCTTTGGTTTAGCAGTGTGAGTTGTTATTGGTTTCTCAAGGGACTATGAGGCCACACCACTTACAAACCAGCAAGTTCCAGGAACATTGTGTTCAGGAAATAATGTAATACAAGCAGTAACAATTCTTATCTTTCCATCAGCCCAGTGTGTTTCATAGACTTAAAAAAAAAAAAACACAAAACAAGTTTATTGATCATTAACAAGCAAACATGAATTTGTATTTTGAGTTGATGAACGTGGAGCTGTGGGAACTGAGAAGGTGACGTTATGTAGGTGGAGCCGCAATGAAGGAGGACCTGGTTATATCAGAGCTCTCATGTTAATAACTGACAGATGCTCAGGCAGATCGTTCCTGTTGATGGCCCCTTAAAATCTCTATGGTGATGTACACAGCATGTTGGGGATGATGCTGCACCATCAGATCCACAGTTTGGGGGCAGTCTGCCCTCTCCAGTCTGCCCCCAAACTGTGTCTCCAGTCTTGAAGTTCTTAAACTCTTCCTGAGTCAATTTATTCAGCCCTTCAAAAGCAGCACTTTGATCTGTGCTCGACTTTTACACTTTATAGTATGTGTCATAGACTGATATAAATAGTCAATGGTGCATACATATGGAGATGTGAAAAGTGTTTGCCACTTTCATGGTTCCTTTTTTTATTTTTATTTGCATATTTGTCACATTTCAGATCCCCATGTCATTACTTGAAATGGCCTAGTCGAAGTCCTGACCTGAAGCCAATTGAGATGCTGTGGCATGACCTTAAATAGGCAGTTCACACTTTAAAACCCTCTATTGTGGCTGGATTATAACAATTCTGCAAAGATGAGTGGCCTAAAATTCTTCCACAGTGCTGTAAAAGACTCATTGCCAGTAATCACAAACACTTGATTGCAGCTGTTGCTGCTAAGGGTGGCCCAACCAGTTATTAGATTTAGGAAGCAACCACTTTTTCACACAGAGCCATGTAGCTTTGAAATTTCATGTCCTTCCCCTTAATAATAAACACTTTCATTTAGAAACTGCATTTCATGTTAACTTGTGTAAACTTTTGTATATTTGTGTGACAAACATACAAAAAAATCAGGAAGGGGGGAAACACTTTTTCACACCACTATACAGAAACATATGAACATATTTTTCAGGGCTGAAAAGCAGAAAAAAAACCTTAATTATTAGTAATGCCCAGAACAAAGGAGTGACTCCTATGGTTGCAAAAAAAAGTGGTTCTATAGTAATCTTAAACATGTCCACAGCTCTGTTGATTTTACGGATTACCGTCCTAATGACTTTGTCTCCATCTCTAGTTTTAAACCCTATTAAATATATCATGATGCTCACTGTTACAGCATGGTAGGGGAAAACAGAGCACAACACAAATGTGGCCCCCTGCACCTTTGCACCCACAGAAGGACCAGTGTGACCACAAAATTTGCTGTCTGGACAGCTGTTTTATTTGTCTTTTTCACACAGAACAATATTAGCGTGGGTGCAGCTAAAACAACAAGCAATATATATATATATATATATATATATATATATTAAAAAAACAACAGCAACAACAACAATGCAACACAAAAATGAATTAACCTAGCACATGGCAAGGCTGTTGAAAGAAAAAGACTACACCTACCAGGACTGCTTGTAAAAAAAATACATATTTTGAATATGTACAAAATTGCTGCCACTTTGCAAGTCAGAAAACACACACACACACCACTATAAACACATTCACACATCACCCACTGACTAGAAATCAGGAAGTAGAGGGAACTGGTCTTTTTTGGTCCTAATTTAAAATTAGCACTTCAGTCTCCAATCAATGTCCAGCTGCTAAATAGAGCTTGTGAAATCTAAAACATGGAACAGAATGAACAACACCACGTTGTACAAGGTAGAATAATATGGTATAATGATAATATTTTACAGTCACTTTGTTTATTATGATCGCCATTACTGCAACAGACTGACAACCTGTCCAGGGTGCACCCCGTCTCTCACTGTTTTACAGCTGGGATAGGTTCCAGCCTTCTGTGACCGGGACCCCCATTCAGTGTCTGCAGAACAGGCTTCACTACCCTATGATTGTATTCTCATTGGCTGGCATTTTTTCTAGAGTAACTTTTTCCCAGTCAGAATGTCACGTTAAGTTTCACAGTGTCATAATGATGACATTGAAAATACTCAGGCGGAACATTCAATAACTGGTGTGTAGCATTACAATATGTACATTCAACTTTCGTATGCAACTTCTGGTATAAAAGTTAATTACTTATAAACTGTGTGTGTGTGCTTTTTCAATACAGGTATGTTTTAAGGAAGGTAAATATCACAGTTCCTCTGAGACTGAAACATGGAAATGATTCATGGTGGCAGCTATTCTCTTTTTAAAGATTTAGTCAGGTTTTGACGAACTAAACTCGGTATAAAAAAAGGAAGGAAGCTGTGGCATAAAAAAGAATTATCCTTATATGGAAAAACTATGTACACTATATAAGATTTGCTTATGTATGTTTTTTTAAACGTACAGATCAGTTCAAAAGTGAAATTCACTGATACTGAATAGATTATGAAAGATTTGCATGAAAACACACACACATATGCACAGACACAACCCTGTATTGCATTCACAACCTCCATCTACAAACAGCCCCACACATCCATCCACCCAGTGGTCAATTTCATTAAGGTTGGCATATTTAAAGGTAACAAGGCCGACCGAAGTGCAAGTTTAAAATAAGCAAAATAAAACCACTGATCAAAAATAAATAAATACAAAAAAGATAAAAGCAAACAAATGAAATATAATTAACTACAAATAATTTATGGCCTGCGATTACTAAATGTGGAAAAGCTTGCTGTGTTGGGCCAAATTAGAAATCAGAAAGTGAGTATTTTGGTAATTTTGCAGCACAGCATAAATTTAATAACACACTGTATTCTCTCCTGTATTTTGCTAGGCATCACAGAACAAAAGATCTAATAAAATTAATTTGGCATTTGTACTTTGTACTGTCAGCTCAAGTATTTGGCAGTGCAGCAACTTATTTGCAATTTGAAACCTGAGGGACAAAAAAATGTGTTGATGCAGAAACAGCCTTCAACAATAGCTGCTATTAACAAAAGATGTGTGAATGTTAAAACTGACACAGGGTCTCAGTCTTGTGAAATCTAACGCTTGAGGTAGCAGACATGACAGGATTTTTTAAAGTGCGAAACATACATTCAGATAAAATTTCACATTACAGGAAACCAATGTAACATTCAGTGCTGTGAAAAAGTATTCACTTCCACATTCGTCACACTTAAATGTTTCAGATCATCAAACAAACTTTAGACAAAGGTTCACTTAAATAGAGCCTGTCTGACAAAGAGAAGCAGCTAACAGATCTCAAAAAGCAACCCATCAGGCCACAATCTAAAGACACAGCTGAGAAACAACATAGTGGTGGGAAGTGTGATTGTCTGGGGACTAGCCATAACAGAACCATGAATTCTGATCTCTACCAGAGGATCCTGGAGGAGAATGTAAGGCCATAAATTAGTAACCGGAAGCTCAGGTGCACTTGGGTTATGCAGCAGGAGAATGATCAGAAACACACTAGCAAATTCCTCTGTGATTGGCTCAAGGCCACTCCACAAAATAATGTGTCTGATTTAAAACAATTATGCAAAAAAGAATGGTCAAAAATGTCTCTACAGTGATGTGATTGCCAATTATTGCAATTACTTGATTTCAGTTCTTGCTGCAAAGGTTGGCAGAACCAGTTACTTTTTCACAAAAAACTTAAAAAAATCAGAAAGGGGCCAAATATTTTTTCACAGCACGTCAATAACAGTAAAGATTAGAAATAGAAAGTTTCATAATGCAACATGTGCATGAATAAAAATGCTCTAAAACACTGGCAGTCTTTTCAAAACACATAAGGGCTTCTTAGCAATTTGTAAAGAAAGAGTTAAAAGAATGTTTACATTTTCATACAATTCATAAGGTCATTATTTGTTTAAAAAAACGACATATATTGCAGAGAGTTGATATTGCACTGGAAAAACCAAACAAAATAACGCGAATGGCTTGCATTACCTGTCTGAGCCACAGCTGTTACAGATGTTTACACAGATGTTGGAAGTGCAGTTAATTAATGGAAGGAAAGAAACAATAAATGTCACTGAAAAAACAGTAATTGTAACAAATTTCGGATTTTAGACAATCACAGATTCAGCCTCTAACTTACATCACTGAGGAACTAAAAGGACAAACTCTTAATCAGAGCCATCATTACACAAACCCAGATCACTGGGCTTGTCTTTCGGCCCTCTGCCTTATTCGGCCACAGTTGTTGGTACGGTTGGGTCTTCGCGTCATTCTCCACCTGTAGTTCGTACTGTACCAGGACTTTACTGTAACCCATCTCCTGTGATATACATTTGTAAGTTCCCTTGCACTCACTGTCCATGTTGTCAATCAGATAAAGGCACTGCTCTTTCACCGATCTACAGGCTGTAGAGTTTTCATCGTGCTGCCAACTGTACTGAGCATGACGGGATGACACTGGGCATTGAAGGAAATACTTTGAGTAACGTGGGACTGGGACTGGGTCACCTGTATAATTTGATGCTGTGGAAACAACAGAAGAGGGACAACTTCAGTTCTGCTTTTCGTTTTGTCTGTTTATTTTTAAACCAGTCAGATTTCAAATGTAGTGTAGTTAACCTAAATCAAACTGGTTTCCTTCCCTCAGGTGAATGTTCATATAAGGACCAAAGGCAATGTAGCTTTAAAGCAAACAACAGAGAAAATGCGGTTGTATATTTTAACAATCATTGTTTACATAGTGTAAAACTGACATTGTGTCTATTTATGCATTTGAGTTTTCCACTGCAGTCAGCTCAACAAATACCTAATGGTGTGTAAGTGTTTCAGTTGTTAATTATAGAATATAAAGCATAAGAGAACTTCTCCTTTTAAAGCCTTCAAGTTAAAAGAGGAAGTTGATCAGCTATAAGGGTTGGAAGTATTTATAAAGAATAAAAGAATAAAATAGAAGAACTATATCATATGCAAATAAACATAAAAGGATTACTATGAGATATTATTAATGTAAATTATTTAAATTTTAAAGGGTAAATGTTTGTAATGATGAAAGCACAAGTTGTGGAATAAAAACTTTTTTTAGTAACTCAGATAAACATGATCTTAAGATGTTGATAAGATTAAAACTGAAGCACATTTGACCACAGATGGCACCAATGATGAGTATCATTGCAGAAGCGTGTGGCATACAGATGCACAGCTATAAGAAGAAACAAATCTAGTTTTTGTTCCCCTTAACGTGTGACCTATTTGGCGAGACAGGAAGCTAAACTATGATGAATAAAGGCTATGCTGTCTGCTGTGCGTTTGAATCCCCCTTGCATATGGAGGAATACAATGTGCACACTCTCACCTACCAAGCTATTCAAATGAGTCTTATTGGCTGGTGGTAACTGGTTTCTGGTTCTGTCTTGAATTTGCGGTTTGCATCAATTTGCTGGAAAATTTGTGTGTTACATTACTTGTGTAGGTTTTCTGAAATATGTCACTCAAAAATGTGCTGCGAGTGTATTAATTTATCCTTTTAACATACATTTTGCCGTATTTGAAATGTTTGATTAGTGTATAGACAGAGCTTGTGTTACTTGTGTTGCTGCTGTTGATTTTTTTTGTTTTTGCTTTGTATATGAGGAAACAGCGCCATGGGTTACTAACGGAAACCACAGAGGAAGCGAGAGCGGGGTCTTTATGCGCTTGCATATGCTCATACATCTACACAGTATATTTTGCAAAGACTTTTATAACTTTATAAGAGATCAGTTTCCTACCTATAATTGAATTATGTATAAGTGTATTGTGATATTTTTCCATTCACTTATTTTGCTCTTGTTTTGACTCTGCTAAAGTAGCTTTACACAATTCACACCAATATAAGATAAAAAAAAAATCCTTATTTTTCTTTCATGCTGTCCATTCTGCATTTAAACAATCCACATTTTAGCCATTTTTCCTCTAATGCCAGTCAACAGACTTTACTGCTCAACTGCATTGACTCAGCTCTTTGTGAGAGTTTGTCGAGTTAGTTAATAATTAACCACATTTAAAATATTTTTTTACATGTACGTTTGATAATTACTGTTATGACACCAGGCACTTCTTTATCAGTCAGTTTTATAATAGAGGAAGAGAAACTGAACTGAAGGGCTTCTTCATGATCTGGTATAAGTTAAATAAAGATTATTTTGAATGGCAAACCATTCAAATCTATTCAAGTGAACCAAAGACAGAAAATAGTAGGAAATTACGATCATGCTCCTGGGCTACAGCTAAAAAGGCCCTTTTACTCAATCTTAGCTTTTTAGACTACCTAATAAAAAATAATACATTTATATTATATAATAAAGCCAATAGTGTAATTCTTAAATATCAGATAAATATATAAACAGTTAAAGGACAGTTAATGATAACACTAACAGGCCTCACAAACTGTGTTTAGTTTTTGTATTAGGTTTCTGAACTAGCATCACAAAAGATAAGAAAGGGAGAGGATACATTTGGGTAATTTTCAGCTAAGAAAGTACCAACTACCAGTGTATACAGCACTGTATTGTTTTGTGGTGCATCTAATAGCTCTTGTGTTCGGAATACAGGAAAATAAAATTCAAATACCCCCAAAATATTTAAACAATTCCTTCTATGATTGTTCATAGACTATCGTTTGATCTTTGGGTTTTTCCTCTGCTATGCAGGGTCTTCACCTTAAAGTGTCCCAAGATTAGTTTTGTTGTGAATAGGCATTATGCAGTAAAGTAAAACTGAAATGAATTTAAATACCATTGTGCTCATTACAGACGGAAAGGTCCCCAGTGGCTGCATCATGCCAGCTCCCCCTGAAAAAGATAATGTATGAGTAAATTAGGCCGTATGGAATGATTATGCTTAACAATCGATTTAAAAAAATTTACATGTTACTGGAACCAGTGGAAAGTTTTGATCTATGTATATTGTTTTCTAACTAAAACATCTTTGATTAGAAAATAATTTTTGGTAGTGTGTAAGATAGTCAATACCAACTTCAGTATTTTTCATTCACACAACACTCTTTGACTGTACTGGGATTTTGAAGCAAAAGGAAATCTAAACAGATCAAAAGAAAAAAAGTGGAATGATTCAATAACTGTAACATTACAACATATAGTACTGTCCCCACTCATAAATGTGCTCCAAGAGAGCTTCCACATCTACATGGTTTGGAGTTTTTAGGAGTTTTACTATTACTAATATTCTGAAATTTGTTATCCCTCTTAACTGTCAAGAAAAAGGGATTTCTCCCCATCTGTGGGCAACTTAGCCTGATCTTTTCATAAGTGGAGGATTAATATGAAGTGAACCTTGACAACATTTTATCAGAGAAAAAGATCCTTAGCGGTTAGTAATCTCCCACATAAAACGAAAAAATCATCTGCATGTGTGGAGCTGCAAAAACCCAGCTGTACTTTTGCATGCAGTGTGGTTGTGTTTGTAAGTTTGTTGGTTGAGGTTTGAGTAGCACTAATTTTACCTCACTAGACCCTGTTCTCTTTTCACTATAATGTTGTGTAAATGTTCCCATTTACAGTTAAAGGTGCCTTCCCTTTTAAGAGGTAAATTTCATCTTCAAGTCAAATTTCTGTGGAACAAAACTAGAATCACAAAGTGAGAATGAAAATACCAGTGCATTGATATAGTTCAATATAGTTCCTATAAAGGTATTTACAGAAATTAACAAATTGCCATGTGAGAAGAAAAATGTTGGGAAAGTTTAAGTGAACACATCTCTTTAGAATGAAAAAAATTCTCGTGTCATTATCAGATTTATGTTGAAAAACGTAATTTCCTTGATAGTTTGCGTAGTATGCTTTTTTAAACCCGCATTTCCTGAAAGATAACAGCTGCTGAATGTGAAAAACAAAATCACACATTTTTTTTACAGCAACGCATTTCTAAGTGTACAAACCTAGTGCCATTTCTGAATTGCTGTGCTTAATAATAAGATTAACAATAGCATTACTTTCATTGAGCCATGCAAATGATCAGGATTACGCTCATGGATGAGCAGGGCTGTGGACCACAGAGAAAAGGATTTGTTACCCCGATCAATGTGACAATGTTATTAGTTCATCTGTGGACTGATTTGCATGAAAAATGCATGACTAGAATGAGGCTTGGATCCAGGAATTTTTGGAAGGACTAACATTGCAAAACAGGGAAAAACATGACATTTTGCATCATATCTTCACAAATGCATCTTAATCAAGTTGGAGAAAAAAAAGGGGAAATTAGTGCACGCTATCTTGATGTTCAAGAAAATGTCACGAACTAATATAGATATCCATCTGAATCCAGGTATTCAGTCCTTGCAAGGTGTGCAGGGAAATATTCTTGTTTTTTTCAGTCTGAGTCTGCCAGTGTGTGCACAGACAAGTCTGGAAAGTCACAACAGACTGGAGGGCCTGCAGGCATCTGGAGGGAATCTTGCAATCACCCACCAATGAAATATGCGTTACTCATACTAAGGTAGACACATGCACACTGTAGACATGGAAACTGACATATTCTTAGAGCTCAGGTACTGTTTAGTTGCCAAAATTCTTATTGCATACATGTGACACAATATCCTGTACTCGACTAAAGCAAAATGTCTTGACACATGGCTGCATATAACTGATTTGTGGTTACTGGTCCAATTAAACTGCCTGGAGTTGGCTGTTATATTCTTTGTTGTTGTCTGTGAAGGTTCTCAGTCATCCAGGTCATTGTAGTCTAAGGAGCTTGGAAAGAAAAGCATCTGGACTTCTTTACGTTGCTTGAAGATGTTTCACCTCTCATCCGAGAAGCTTCTTCAGTTCTAGGGTCAAATGGTGGAGAGCCCCACATTTAAACCCTGTAGGAGTATCTCCCCAAGAGGGACAAAATAACCCCCTAATGATAAAAAAGAGGCCATTTATGTCCACTGTGAGTGACCATCTTTGAACAGAGGTGGTGGCTTACGACACCAACTGTCTGCATCTATAATCCAGTTTTGAGATCCCTTCCCAGACGCCTTAACGCCCACTCACATCCTGGGCCATCTGACCTCAGGAAATCACAAGATAGGGTGGGGCTAGGTTTCACAATGAGCTCACCCGAAACCTTGGCTGATTGTGACCTACACCCGTTTTCGCACATTGGCTCATGTGATTAGGTAGAGGATCTATAGGGGGTCCTTTTGTCCCTCTTTGGGGGGACACTCCCACAGGGCTTAAATCTGTGACTCTCCACCATTTGACCCTAGAACTGAAGAAGCTTCTCGGATGAGAGGTGAAACGTCTTCAAGAAATTCCAGACACTTTTCTTTCCAAGCTCCTTAGACATTCTTTGTTGTTCTTCTATGTTTCTATGTGTCTAAGACCATACAATATAAAATGCATTGAGATCACTCTCTTTTGTGAACTGGCACTATGTAAATGAAATTTGCTCAATTTAATGCACATTATCTTGTTTTGGTATATGTGCTCTTTAATCTATGAGTAATATACAAAATATACTCATGATTTTCTTGGTTATTTATGTTAATATTTTCTCAGTTGAACAAAAGTCACCTGTTGGCTGATACCTGATCGGTACACAGAACACTAGTCTTTCATAAAGCAGTAGAGCTACAGTAGGACAAATTCACAAACGGCTCCAAGTGTCAATATGTGCTGAAATATTGTGACAACATGATTTACGGGACATTGTAATTCCCGAGTGTTGCTTCATCCTGGATTAAGTTTGCAATGACTCATCTGTCGAGCTTTGTCAGGTGGCACAAGGCAAAAAGTACACTAATGATGTTGCATAATCATTTATACTCTTCGGGGCGTGCGAGCACGACTTTGTAGTATCTGAATCAAACCTGTGTATGATTCAAAAGGTACACTAATGAGTAATAATCCATCATACAAAATGTAATCAAATGGAAAAATCTCTTTTTTTTAAACTTGTTTTATCAGTTTTAATCTTTTAACTTTATGCATCAAGCAAAAATTTAATTATATGCAACATTCTCTGAGTTGAATAAATTAGTTTAACATTTAAACCTATTTTCTGCACATTAAAGCACATAAAATAAAATATTTTTTGTGTTTACACTCACTCTTTCAAATAGATGCAAGTAAAACACAGCAGAAAATAAATAAAGTCAAAGACTCAGCGGTCCTGTTGCTCTATTTTCACCTGTAAAGCAGGACTGCGGTAGGCGGAGGTTTACCCCGGTGCAGGTGTGCCGCGGTCAGTTGAAGAATCCGCGAGTTTCTCTGTGAATTTCCCATTACGTCGTTGCGCACTCGGTGCTTGCTTGGAAGTTTAGGGTTTTTTTCGCTGTAAAAAGTTTTCTTCCCACGCACAACGGACGCTAATGTTTTTGTCCCTTTTTATGGAATCAAACTCAAAGGTCAGTACTTCCACGCTTTAAACGCTGCACGCTCATACTCTCTCCCACAATCGATATATGATCCACTGTTGATCTGCACACAGCTGCTGTCACCAACGGTGCACTCGCTTATGTCACTGTCATGAGACATTCTCGCAAAAAAAATCACGGCTTTAGTAACGCAGTAATGCAGCGTTCCTACGGGAAAGTAACGGTAATCTAATTACCGATTTTGCAATATTAATCCCTTACTTTACTCGTTACTTGAAAAAAGTAATCAGATTACAGTAACGTAACGCGTTACTGCCCATCTCTGGTCATATTTGGTATTAGTAATGTTGGTATTAATAAACAGTCCTGATTCTGCTTTCATTGCCTTTTGACTGTTGACCATCAGCAGCAGTAGTAATGGGCAAAGAAACATACCAGCATAGGCAAAGAAAATTAAGGTGACTAAACATGAATATAAAAAATGAACATATTTCATATTTCTGTTTAGGGAAGGAAAAGCATTCAACACAACTGTGAAGCTGACTTGTTGTTCGCTTGTATGACTTACCTCAAATAAGGTAAACACTTATTTTAATTTACTGTTGGAAACGTTTAATGCAATTGTTGGCTGTGAAGAATTATTCTTCATATTTTATAGATACGAGTTCCATAAAGCTCTGAGGTCTTACTTTGTGTCACGTATGCACTGGGTGCCATCCCAGCCACAGTAAGGATCTCTGGATAACATACAGTCCTGGCAGGTATCTCCATACTGGGAACAGTCTGCTACATCAAGTTGGACCAGTTGACTTCCATTGTTCACATACAGCTTTTTCTGTAATGATGGACAGGTTTTCTTAATGTACTGGGCTTTTTCGTAAAATTCATTGGAAAATAAGATTGAAATGATTTCAAAGTTATTGATTAGATGCTACAGTAGATTCTTTAGGAGATAAAATTGTTAATTTTTCCCCTTTCGTCCACAAAAACCATTTATTCCATATGAGTAATCTTTGTGGTTTGATTGGGACATTGGTTACACAGTGATCATTGTTACTCACAAAGGTAGACTGAAGGATGATGCTGAGAACGTGTGCTTTTTGTTTGAATGGTTGATACTCAGCAATTACAAAGGTGTGACTTTCATTCTGCAGCACCTTATGAATCCCTCCATTATCTGTGGAAAGACACAATGGGGGTGAGGGGTGAGGGAGGAAATGACTAACAGTTAAAAACTGTCTAACCACTCTAACCCACCTCTGCCATCCCACTCAGTCTCTGGATCTGTTACCTTATATGATACTACATTTTGTCTTCAGAACCTGTATAAACTCATCAAATAAATTTGTTAACCAGTGACTAACTGTGATCTCAGCACCACACACATCACAAGGCGCAATCCACTCTGTATAGTAGCCTGTGGGGTAGTCATTCAACAGTCACATCTAACTCATCACATACTTTAATACTCTTCTGATCATATTTAGAAAAGGCTGACTTAGTAGTCACAGAGATCAAAGTACAAACAGCGTGCATTGACTCAACATGTTATTTTAAGGGGAACTGGAGTAAAAGGAAAACCAAAAAAGTGTCAGGGCCAGCGGGGGCAGACCGTGTGGAGAGTGTGTGTGGTGGAAGTGGAAGACACATGAGAACACAGCTGACTCAAATGAAACATAATGACAATACAGAGGAGAGTAATACTAACTACAATGAACAAAGAACACCAGACTCTTACAGAATAAAACAGGAAACACGGAGACATAGACATGGAGATTAAACATGACATGAACTTAACCGCATAGACATGAAATGTAGACGCAGGAACCAGGGAGACTGAGTACAGGCGGAGATGACAGAAATAACTAAGAAATAAGGTCTGAACAGCAACCTAGAATTTAACTAGATTGAAAATGAATACAAAAAATACCTAAAACTCAAACACTGGGTCACACGACCCAGTACCGTGACAAAAAGCCTGTTATGTCAACATAAAAAAGGAAAAAAAAGAAAAAAGAGGAAGTTTATATCTGGGAGTTTTATGTTACATTCAGATTGTGCCACACCTGTTCTTCTACTCGTCACCTTTGTGTGAAGACCCCAGCAGGTGTGATCATACAGGAAACTTTCGGTTTCTGGTTTTGCAGGTTACACCACCCACCTACGTTTGCCCTTTAGTAAATAATTCCTCTTCATTACAACCCAGTCCCACTCAGTCTGTTCCGATGTGTGCCTTATTTTACTAGACATATACTAGTAATGACTACTTTAATATTATGTCCTGTTTCTACTCACCTTCCACTGTAGACAAACACACAGAACATTCTTCTTAACATTTAGTATTTTATCATTTAGATTTTTTTTTACTCACTTAAAGACAGGAAGATGACGTTCTGATTACTACTTCTGCTGTTTGGTTTACTGTCAACTTGGATGTGGGTATAGTTGTGATGATTAAAGAAAAGAAGGCCAGGGTTGCCGACAGGATGAACCAACTGCTCCATCTCTGAAGTCTTTTCAATCTTCTTCAGGGTGTCCACTGAAAGCTTGGAGCTATCAGGAGCGCACTGAAGAAGAAAAAAGTGCTCTATTTAATAGAGCTTCATACCACGTGTGGCCCCATTTACCCCTTGAAGATGTGAAGCCTTTTGTTTTCTCTTGCTGCATATGAAAACTTTACTCTGATAATGCTGTCGGAGTAACCATTTAAAATTCAAAAGCTGTTATAGGATCAGTGAATTAGGAGAAAATCATGTCTCTAATTTCCAAGTTACTTAGTTACTTGTTTCAAACAAGTTTAATACACTCGATTTATTTGGCAATTTAATGAGGCCTGTGTTTACCAAAAGATATAGCTAAAAAGATCAGGCCACTTTGTGCTTTTAAGTATAATTACGCAGTTGGTTTGAAAGATATCAGCCATAAAATACATGAATCTTTGTGTAGTGGCACTGTTTGTTACACTTTTCTCTTCAGACCAGTTTAAATGTCTCATACCGTCCTTGGTCTGTCCATTTGGTCTTTTTTGTAGCCACTGAAAGGAGAGTTTTCGAAGATTTTGTTGATGTCTTCAATCGTGTAGACACAGACAGCACTCATCCCCCTGCAGGGAGACTCATAGTCAGCAGGTTTGTCTGACACATTTAAAGCAAAATGGCTGGAAAAACAAAAACAGCTGACCATACAGACTGAAAAAAGGGGAAAAATAAACAGAACATGGCTTAAAACTACAGAGGACATAAAGTGTCACCTGACCAAATAAATCTAAGTTAAATCATAAAAGCACTATGAGGGTGGCATTTTTTTCTATTACAATTTTCCCAAGTTCCTGTGTTTTACTTCTGTGTAAAAATTCCAAATCAAGCAGCCAAATCATTCTGGTTTAAACCTTTGGTTACTGGTTTAACATCCATGTGATGTTAAACCAGTCATGATCATATTTTGAAAAATAAAACAGCACATGACTCAGTTACACAAACACTGAGTCATAAAAACAGACAATAACTGTATTATAACTATTATTTCATGTTAAATCAAATGTAGAAATGTGAATAATATTACCATAATAATGACATATATTAACTATGATAGAGTAGAAGCATCAAAATCAATGATAATAGTCCTACCATTCATTTCTAAAGAGTGCATAGATCTTTGTATCCTGCCATCGATCTGCATCCACAGTGGAAACATCCACCAGCTCAGAGAAATGCTGTTTTCTGTTACGATCTCCACAGAAGAGCCTGGCATTCATCTGGGATGTCCAAGTAAACTGCAAGTTGTTCTTAGGACCACCAACATCTGTCTAGAAGCAATGGACAGTCAATCATTATGTATTTATGTTTATTTATTTATTTTTTATTGTTGGTGGCACTTAATACAAATTTTCAAACTATTTTGGTCTTACCATGCAAACCTGGGTCACAAAGGGGAGCCACATTTCACTGAACAGTCCAGTGTCTTCGGTTTTCTCCTTATAAAAGCCATAAACTCTGTTCTGGGAGGGATCCTCTTCACGTTTGCTGAGCACCAATCCTACATAATGCTGCTCTAAACATTGAAAGAGAAATATTTATTTGTCTCCAAACATTCATAGTGATGTGATTTCACTAAATAAGGTCTCTGTGGCTCTAACTTTATGAAAATACCTTTATGGTGGTTCTTTGGCCCCACTTCTGCTTTACCAAATTTGTGAATGCCAACAGATTCAACAGATCCATCAGATCCAGAGCGTGTTATGTAGAGATCTGTACTTTGTTCAGATTCTGGAACAAACAGTGGCAAATTGACGTTTTATAGGGATGTACAAACAGGGAGAAACTAGTTCAATATTATAGTAATAGGGAGAAGAAGCAACCTTTAAAAGGGACTGATTTAAATAAAAGATGTTAGTAGTTTTGACAAAAGTACAGACTTTCTGTAAACACACAAGAAGGATTAAAATTACAGACTCATAGAAAAAGGTGAATGAGGAAGGAGGGATTCATCAGCAGATTTATTCAAAAGCATCTTGTGTGTAAAAAACTCACCTGCAAGGGCCGACAGGTCACCCTCCTTTATGTTAAATGAGCTTATATCTTTTATATCCTTGCATATCGGTGACTGCTCTGCCAAATTCTATTAAAGAAAGAACAGTTTATCTTAATGTTTCCCAACTAATGTACATCACAGATGATAAACATGTATAGCCAACACCCTGTATCTAACAGATAGTTCAAAAAAATTATAAAGCAAAAACAAATATGGCTAAACAGGAAGTGCTGTGATGTATTTGCTTTGTTTGCAGAAGAGGGCTGTTTCAATTAAACCAGAAGTAGCTTCGCTTAGTATCAACCCTGAGCAGAAACAACACAACTACCAGTTCCCAGTATTATATCAGTTCTCTGTCACAGTACTCTGTCCTACCGAGTTACAGCAAACTGTTTCATCGTCAGTGGTTCCACACACAAACAACTGGTTAGCATCTTCCATAAGGTGGGCCAAAGTGATGTTATAGCTGCAATCCTAAATAACAAGATTGTTGTTAGATTTTTTGAGTGTTCAAACAATACAATTTAACAAACTACTTAATTTTGCTCTGTTTATCTGTTCACTGCTTACTTACATCACTGTTGCAATTCTCCAACCGCATACGTCTTTGATTCTGTGGAAATACATAATGCATGACTATTACTTTCCCATGATATTAATATGAAGATCCATTTATTTCAGAGCATTCAATACATTAATTTAGTGTGATTATACAGCTATGTTCTACCTTTTTCTGGTTTTTAATGTAGGTATTCAGGTATGTTTTTCCAACAGCTAAGACAGTGTCCGGTTGCTCTTTTAGAAAAATCCGCACCGGTGGATCATGAGGAAGATCTAACCTATTCATTGCAGCTTCTAGAATTAAGAATAAAAAACAAACAAACATATATTAAAGGATAAACACAGCCAATGATGTAAAATTGCCAAGCACAGCACAAGGACAAAATGTTACTGTACACATGTTTATACATGAATAACCTGTTCTCAGTCCGTCTGGTCCTGCCTGGAACATCTCCCAATATCTATAGCATGTACCACAATGAGGCTCAACAGTTAACCCATTTATGTAGTATAGTGCTGCCACTAAAGTCATATATTTTTTGTTTTTAATTATTTTTTTCCCGTCATCCTGAGAATGAATCCTAAACCCTTTGGGGATCCATTTTTGTTACTTTGTTACGCCCTCACCCACATTACAGAAATCAGAATGTGAGAGTTTTAGGTTTTTACTGTAATAAACTTGCTAATATAAGCTTTTAGTTATAAATATTACGTTTATTCTGTGTTTAAAGGTGAAGGTTTTCTTTTTGTTTCAAACTATTACTTTTGTAATCTGAGAAGAAAAGTACACATCAGCAGATGTTAGTGCTTACTGAAAGTACAGGGCGTTGACCTGATGTTAATCAACTGACTGAAGCAATTTTTTGGTTGTATGTAATCAAAAGAGCAATGGTCTCATACGAAATAAAATGATATAAATGTTAATATTATATAATATATTAATTAGCTAAACCCAGTATGAACTCTATCAAACCCCTGAAACTGGAGAAGCTAAATGGAATTCAGTGTAAGTGTCAAAACGTGGTGAAAAAGTCAATAATTAAACTTCCACTAATTGAAACCCTAACGTCTTTATTCTTTTACATGCCTTCCTTTGTACATAGAACCTTTTAAACATTTCTTTAAATGGATGCAACTCTTTATTTCATGGGACACTTGACCAGCAAACAATGTTATGAAAATATAAATTAAAGCAACAACACATAAATATAGGAAATTAGAACAAACAAAGAACATTATCAAAGTCCAGCTTAGTAACACAATTTGCACTCTGCAGCTACAGAATTCTTTATAAGTGCTTTGGGCTCAAACACACTTGTCCCATAAACAGGAAGCAAATAAGACTTTGATGTCCGACCAAGTTGTAGAATTTGGGCACCCAGCATAAGCAGCAAGTGATAGCAACTTACATAGATAAGAAGGAAATGTATCAACATGGCTTTGGCTTTCTTACCACGATTGAGCAACTTCGTGGTATACAATGATGTCTGCAGCTGTTCAAAAACAGCCAGACGTTCCTCAAGTTTGACTCAAAAGAGCCTAAAACATCTGTGTAAAGATTCTCTTTACATGTTAACATAGCATTCCAGGTGTTATTTGCAAGTATAGAAGAAAAAACTAAAGAACAGGGGGCCTAAAACTGAACAGCGTAGGAGTCTTTCTGAAAAAACCAGGAAACTTAACGTCTGTCCATCCAAAGCCACGTGTAGACCCTTTTTTAGGGGTGCACAACCACCCCCTAAATTTCATCATATCGTCCCTAAAGATAACTTTAGCATAGGTAGTAATAATAATGCAGTTTTAGTATTATATTCTGACATTGTATTCTAATGTTATGTTAACAGTGTGCCTTATCATTATTAAATAAGACTTTTGTTGCAACAGCTGGAGAGACGAACATGAAGATATTTCATGACAAGTATCAGTGTTGGAGACTTAAAACACACTTTACCTGAAACATCCCAAAAGTGCAAACTATTCTCATAATACGGAGACATTGCTGGGGGCGCTGTCATCAAGTGATTGCTTATGTAGCCCCCCAATAATGTAAAAATATACATTTATGTGCATTTTTTTCTATATAGCGTCAGAGATTATTAGGCAATGATGATCTTCTGAGCCATATGTATGGTGGACACACACTTTAACGGGATTGAATAATACCTACTGTACTTTTGAAAGGAATATGTCGTGTTTTTGTCCTGAATCACAATGATTCATATTGATTATAGTCATAGACTATAGACTTTAATAGACGTAAAGTATGCCAGGAAGTCACTTAACATGATTGAGAAGATTTTCCCGATTTTCGGCTTTATGACTCATGTTTACACTATGTTTTATCTTAGCTAAAAAGAGAAAAAAAAACATTTCCTACCTTTCTCTGTGAATATCATCCTCGGAGAACGATCGTTTCCCACAGCCAGACAACAGATGTGTAAAAAAAATAGACATGCCACTAATGAGAACCTCATCTTCCAGATCTCCAGGCACGATATTATAAGATGGATCTAATAGTTAGTGATGTGACGTTCTGTATCGAGGCTTCGAAGCTCGTGTCGAGTAATGGAGGGGGCGTTTCCGCGATGCGCGTATCGAGGCTTGCTTCATTTATGGGAGGAGCTGAAAATGATGACGTCCGAAGCCTCGCTGCCCGGCTGTACCACGTGACTGGTTCATGAAGTGGTTCGAACTTTGCCACGAGATATGACAGCGATATAGACCCCCCAGACTTCATTCAAAATGTGGGTGTTTGATGGAGAGTTGCGGTTAGTGAGAGTTTGGAGACCGTTTGGAGGTTTATGAGAGTGAGGAGAGAAAGTCAGGAGAGAATGGAGCCAGCTAAGAAGAGGAGGATGTCCTCCCCTGTGTGGGAACATTTTGATTTTATTCCTCCCAACAAGGTATGTAACTTTCTACAGAAGATGTATTTTCATGATACTGATGGTGCAATACAATTTATGTTAAGCTGTCTTGACTTTTGTACAAGGTGAAGTGTTTGCTATGTGCCAGGGAGCTGGGATATAACAACAACACCTCATCCATGCTTAGGCACTACAGAGCTTTGCATGAGAATAAGGGGAACACCGATTGTGGAGCAAGACCAGGTGAGCCATCAAATGCCATGATAATATAGCATGCAGTAATGTTACTAAATGATATAACAATATTATACAACTGTAATAAGTTACGTGTGTGATATTTATATTTGTGCTTTGTCTTTATTGTCTTTCCTCAGGAGAACAATCTCCAATAGATGAAGACCTGGTTAGCATGGTGATTGAGGACTCCCAGCCATTTAGCATTGTGGAGGATGCACATGTGACGACTGATAAACGTTAAAGTGAAATCTTAACAAAAGGATGCATGAATGTGACAGGTGAGACCTGGGTCTGGGAACCGCCCCTGGTAGGCGGGGCTGGGTTTTTCCTTATATGAGCACAGGTACAGGTAGAAAACTTGTAGTGGACCTCTTAGTGAAGGGGTAAATAAGTAGTGAAGTAAGGAATGCGTTACCATATTGGAAAGCCAGTCTGATTAGACTGAATGCAAAGTGGAAATGCCTTAAACAACTGTTTGTTTGTTTTTCGCATTGCTTGCTTATGGCCTCAGTTAGTCCAAAAAGACGATGACGCGGGGACCTTCTTGTGATGGTCAGGTCTCCTTGGTTTTTCAGTCTGATCTGTCCCTCTTTTGCAATGTTCTGCTTGAGAACAACAAGGTGATGGACTTCTTACAGACCTCAGTAACTGATGAGTGACTGATAGGAAAGGTTACCTATCAGTTTCCTATCGTGGTGGCTATGCTCAAATATTATATGTATAGCAAATCCACCTTCACTACATGAAACATATTTTTTCATTAACTAGTGTTAAAGTAATATTCTGTTATCAGAATCAGCATACTTTATTAATCCCTCGGGAAATTACGTGGGTTACAGTTGCTCCAATACAGTAACAGAAACAGACGAGACTATTTAACAATACAATATGTTACAGATTTACAAATGTAGGAAATTGCACAATATAGACAAATCACTCAATAATAAATATCAATGATTTACTGAGGTATTTATGAATTAATATCAAGAATATTCACAGCAACATTACTGAGTAGAAAAGAGTGTGTGCAAAAAGGGTGTAACTATTGCAGTGTTTACATTGTATTAGATAGAGGAGTTGTACAGGGAGATGGCCACGGGCAGGAATGGTTTCCTGTGTCGTTCAGTGGTGCTTTTTGATCATCTCAGTCTCTCGCTGAACGTGCATCCCCACAACATTACTGGCCTTGCGGATCAGTTTATTTAGTCTGTTGGCATCAGCAACCTTCAACCTGCTCCTCCAGCATGCAACAGCATAGAGGATAGCACTGGTCAAAGCAGACTCATAGAAAAATCTTTATCTTTCTTAATGTAACAGTGCCATCCACAGCCTGGTTTGTGAAAGGAAGTGTTAGTGTTCTCACACTTACTGCACAACCTCATTAATAGTTTAATGTTTCTATCTGTATATACTATGAGCACTATATGCAGTTTACTTAAGTGGGTTTCTGCTTTTGCTGACACTTTAAAAAACGAAATAAAAACATTGTAAACCTATAAGTGTTCTGATTTTTTTTTCCCCCAAGTAGCTTCAGCTAAAACTTTCTTTTGGAAAGTTCTGCTGTAATCGAACTTCTTCTATTCAATTCAATTCAATAAAACTTTATTGATCCTGAAGGTTGACCCCGAAGGAAATTGGGTTAAGGCTGCCGACCTTTGCCAGCGCCATCTTACCCTTCTGACCATACATACATGACACAAACATCACATGGGGAAGACAGGTCAGAGGTATAACAATGGAAAATGCACAACATGAGGAAAGATAAGGAGAAAAAAATAACTCCCCCCAGACTGAGCTCCAACAGGGAGATCAGTTTGAGAACAGAAAAAAACACCTCTGTACATAGCACATGAAAAAAAAAACCCTCTTAATACACCAAAGAAACACATGACAAGCAACAGGGGTGGGTAAAGGGTGAGACACAGCCAATGTACACAGTGCATCCGGGCCTGCAGCATAAGCGCTGGTCTCCTTGATCCACCGTCAGCATCGGAGGGGAATAAGCGTCGAAGGCGTTTGGAGGGGGAGAGGGTATGAGTGTATGTCTGCATGTGTATATATGTCTAGAGTTCAGCTGAGACAGTGTTCTTCGCCCTGCCAGGCTAAGTAAACAGTCTTCCAGCTCCGTTTAGCTGTGTGCTCAGTGTGTCCTGTGCTTCTCCAATAAAGCCTAGTTAGTTCCTAGTTTCTCCTGAATGACTCCTAATCTGCCTGGCACATGTGCTCCATAACAACACCATGCTAAAGGTTTGTCTAAAATAGACCACTATATATATAAAAAAAAAAGGGTTTGCTATCATTGTGGATCAGCACTAGCATGAATGCAGATGAAAGATGTGAGGTGCCAAAATGACCCTTTTCTTTATGGATGTTAACCAGGAGGTTCACATGGTAATGGTCTGTGTTTATATTGTGAGAGGTGTTTATTCACTTTATGGAGAATGAGACCCAGCAGCGCGTTTTTTGTGGTAACATGTTTGGACTTGTTTATCATCAGACACTAACATGAGAGACTTTGAAAAAGACAGACGCATGTTGTAAACATTTGCAGTTTATTTCCTTTAGTTTATATGTTGAAAAGATGGTTGAGATGTTTAGATGTGGTATTTTTTTGGACTCGCGTAACTGCAAAAATGTGATAAATTAAATCTCTTTTTGTTTTGTTTGTAGCTTCATTTGTACTGCCAGGTTAAGGATTTGAAAAGCAGCAACTTGCTTGCTATCCTAAAGCACTGTGAGGTCAAAAGTCTTACCTTTCTACTTGGAATTTATGATCAGGTTTCACTCAAAAATAGGGGAAAAGTGTCTGAGTGTTTCTTCTCTTTATTAACCGAACTCTGAACAAACAGAAACTGGGTCAGTGTTTGGAAATCTACATGAGCTAAGACACATGGCCGGAAATTTATAACATGCACTGTGTACATTCTGGCAGAATTTCAAATTACAGGAAACAGATGCAACAGTTACAGGAAAGAATAAAAAAAAGGAATCAATCAATATTGATTGACATGCGTGCATGTACTGCATGCAACACTGCAATTAATTTCTAAAAATTACCACAGACAGCATTTTATACCATTGAACTTCAGCTTTTAATACTGTCAACAAGCCTGAGTCCAGCTGATATTCAATATATTTTTTCCATAAGAAGAAAAAAATGAATGAATTAGCCCCTCAAAAAAAGAAAAGCTTTGGAGCGTGGCTGTATAACTGCAGTTTGTTTTTTAATCTATCTCTCTTACACACGCTAATGAATGCATTGGTGGCAATTGATCTCATCCAAGGACATTTGCGAAACCAGATATCAAAACTCTACAATAATGGCTTGCTCTACATCCCGAGCTGCAGCTCAAAGTATTAGAAGTAATAGAGTTTTATTTTAGTTAAAAAAATAAAAATAAATTAAAGAATAATGAAATTTTTTTTTATAGTATCACAACTCTGAGGAACTAACATCACAACATCTGAATCAGAACCACCATGAGACAAACCCAGATCATTGGCTTTGACTGTAAACCAACCACCTTGTTCACTAGCTGTAGTTGGTACTGTGCCAGGATTTTCCTGTAACCCATTTCCTCTGATACACAGGTATGAGTTCCTTCCTGCTCAGGTCCCATGCTGTTGATCAAATAAAGGCAATGATCTGGCTTCCCGATGCAAGATGAAGAGTTTTGAAGGTGGTGCCAACTGTACTGAGCATGACGGGAGGATACTGGGCATTGCAGAAAATGCTTTGCGTGAAATCTGACAACATCTTTTTCTGGATTTGGAAATTCTGCGGAAAAAAACACAAGAACGCCCATTTAGCTTAGCCATGTTTTTGTTTTACATCTTTTTTTTTTTTAAATTTCTGATTTCTTCTCACAAATCCAGTGCACTAAGCTCTTTGGGAAAATGGTTGAAACCTTTTTTTTAGGAAGCAATAGATAAGCCATCAGATTGAAAATGTATCAGTAAAAACCTTTCAAATGTCTCATTAAAAGTTTTGATAGTGTCAGAAATTTAATATAACCATGTGACTGCTGCTAAAACCCACATCTACATTCCAACCAATAGGAAAACAACATGAAAGAGAGCATATCGTGAAAAAAAGAAGACAAAAAAAAGAAGACAAACCAAGATTTCTTCCAGTTGCTGGAATGCATTCACAATAATAATAATAATGGATTGCATTTATATAGCGCTTTACAATACCACTATTCATTCACTCTCACATTCACACACTGGTGGAGGCAAGCTACAGTTGTAGCCAAGCTACAGTTGTAGCCACAGCTGCCCTGGAGCAGACTGACAGAAGCGAGGCTGCCACACATCACTTTCACTCAAGACCAGGTTCAGAGGCAAATGAGGAGGCAAGGTTGCTGGACCAGATGGACTGAGTCCCCGTGTCCTCAAGGCCTGTGCCCCCCAGCTTTGTGGAGTCTTTCATAAACTGTTCATGTTGAGTCTGAGTGTGCAGAGGGTCCCAGTGCTGACCCCCAGGATTACAGGCCTGTGGGCACTGACCTACCACATCAAGAAAATCCTGGGAAGACTCATCCTGGACCTACTCCGACCCATAGTCAGACCACATCAGAATCCCCTTCAATTTGCTTACCAGTCCTTACTCGGAAATGAGGACGCCATCATCTCTACCTGCTCAATCGTGTCTACACCCATTTGGACCAGCCAGCGAGTGCTGCATAGGTCATGTTTTTTGACTTTTCCAGTGCATTCAACACCATCAGGCCGACCTTCCTGGGTGATAAACTAACAGCAATGCAAGTGGATGCTTCTCTGGTGTCTTGGATTTTTGATTACCTGACAAGAAGACCACAATATGTGTGGTCTCATTGTGTCTGACAAGGTAATCAGCAACACAGGGGAAACAAAAGGGACTGTCCTCTCCCCCTTCCTCTTCACCCTCTACACCACAGACTTCAGCCACTGCACAGAGACCTGCTATCTCCAGAAGTTTTCTGATGACTCTGCAGTGGTTGGATGCATCAGCAGGGATGATGAGTCAGAGTACTGCGCTGTGGTCGACTCCTTTGTCATGTGGTGTGAGCAGAAACATCTGCAGCTCAACATGGGAAAGACCAAGGAATTGACTGTTGATTTTAGGAAGACCAGAAAACCCTTGACCCCTGTTTCAATCCATGGGGTCAACGTGGACATATAAATACCTTGGAGTACACATAGACAATAAAGTGGACTGGGTTAAAAACACTACTGCACTTTATAGGAAGGGCGAGAGTCGTCTCTATTTTCTGTGGCGGCCGAGGTCCTTCAACATCTGTCGGACAATACTCAGGATTTTCTACAAGTCTGTTGTGGCCAGTGCTATCCTCTATGCTGTTGCATGCTGGGGGAGCAGGTTAAGGATTGCTGATGCCGACAGACTAAATAAAGTTATCTGCAGGGCCAGTAATGTGGATATGGAGCTGGACTCTCTTAAGGTGGTGTCAGAGGGGCGAAAGTTTTTCCAAGATAAAGACAATGTTGGATAATACCTCCCACCCACTCCATGACACGCTGGCTAGTCACAGGAGCACGTTCAGTGAGAGACTGAGATTACCAAAAGGCACTACTGAACGACACAGGAAATCATTCCTGCCTGTGGCCATCTCCCTGTACAACTCCTCTATCTAATACAATGTAAACACTGCAATAGTTACATCCTTTTTGCACACACTCTTTTCTACTCAATAATGTTGCTGTGAATATTCTTGATAGTTATTTATAATTGCATCTGTCAACCCTGGATATTTATTATTTGGTGATTTGTATATATTGTGCTATTCCTTGTATGTTAACATATTGTATTGTTAAATAGTTCAGTCTATTTTTGTTAATGTTACTGTGCTGGAGCAGCTGTAACCCACATAATTTCCCGAGGGATTAATAAAGTGGTTGCTGGAGTACTTTTCTATGCTGTGGTGTGCTGGGGGAGCAGCACAGCAAAGAAGGACTCATCCAGGCTGGAGAAACTGATCAGGAAGGCTAGCTCTGTGGTCGGCATGAAGCTGGACACTCTGGTAACAGTGGCAGAGAAAAGGACACTGAAAAAACTGCTGGACATTATGAACAATGCTGGGCATCCTCTGCACACGGCCATTAACAACCAGAAGAGTCTGTTCAGTGACAGGTTGCTTCTCCCCAAGACAAGAACTAACAGACTTAAAAACTTCTTTGTCCCACACGCCATCAGACTGTTTAACTCCTCTCTGGAGGGGAGAGGGAGGGGAAACAGGTGGACAAAGGAAGGGGGAACAACTAAGCTGTAGTGCCTCTTCACTTCACTGTGCAATACCTTTTGTGCAATACTTTTGTTAATAGTCAACGGTGCAATAGACTCCATACTTGAAATGTGCAATTCACTTGTATTTTCATTTTTATTCCTATTTATTCTATTTATCCCCTTCGTATATTTTATTTATATATGTATCTGTATTTATATATGTGTGTGTGTGTGTGTGTGTGTGTGTGTGTGTGTGTGTGTGTAACTTCTGTCGGTGCTGTGCTTTTGGAAACCGAATTTCCCAGAGGAACCCACCCGAGGGATTAATAAAGTTTTATCTTATCTTATCTTATCTTATCTTATCTTATCTTATCTTATCTTAAAGTATGCTGATTCTGATATATCTATCAGATAGTTTGGGGCTCTGTCCAAATTTTACAGGTGCATGAATTTAAATACCTTTTTCAGCGTGTTCTTGACAGATGGCTAGGTTCCCAGTGGCTGCATCATGCCATATCCCACTGCAAAACATAGTGTATGTTTACATTAGACAGTATGTAACCAACATCCTGGCAGTTGATAGAAAACTAACATTTACAGGAACCCACAGGAACCTTACTCCTCCCAAGTATATCCCTTTAAATTAATTGAAATTAGCAACACAGGGGCACCACAGGGGACTGTCCTCTCCCCCTTCCTCTTCACCCTCTACACCACAGACTTCAGCCACTGCACAGAGACCTGCCATCTTCAGAAGTTTTCTGATGACTCTGCGGTGGTTGGATGCATCAGCAGGGATGATGAGACAGAGTACCGGGCTGTGGTCGACTCCTTTGTCACGTGGTGTGAGCAGAATCATCTGCAGCTCAACGTGGCAAAGACCAAGGAACTGATCGTGGACTTCAGGAAGACCAGGAAACACTTGACCCCTGTTTCAATCCAGGGGGTCAGTGTTGACATTGTGGAGGACTATAAATACCTTGGAGTACACATTGACAATAAACTGGACTGGGCTAAAAACACCACAGCACTTTACAGGAAGGGCCAGAGTCGTCTCTATTTTTTGAGGCGACTGAGGTCCTTCAACATCTGCCAGAAAATGCTGAGGATTTTCTATGAGTCTGTGGTGGCCAGTGCGATCCTCTATGCTGTTGCATGCTGGGGGAGCAGGCTGAGGGTCGCAGATGCCAACAGACTTAATAAACTGATCCGTAAGGCCAGCAATGTTGTGGGGATGGAGCTGGACTCCCTCAAGGTGGTGTCGGAGAGGCGGATGCTGTCCAAGATAAAGACAATGTTGGATAACACCTCCCACCCACTCCATGACATGTTGGTCAGTCACAGGAGCACGTTCAGTGAGAGACTGAGATTACCGAAAAGCACCACTGAACGACACAGGAAATCATTCCTGCCTGTGGCCATCTCCCTGTACAACGCATCCACTTAACACACTGTTTGCTGCTACAGCTACACATGTTTCTTTTCCAACTATTTATTTATAAGTGACTTATGTATGTATGTATGTATATATATGTATATATTGTACTATTCTTAGTTAGCGTATTGTCTGTCTTGTCTTAATGTTGGTTTAAAATGGAGCACTGTAACAAAAAATAATTTCCCCCAGGGATCAATAAAGTATTCTGATTCTGATTCTGATTCTGATTCTGAAATTATGCTGAAGTATCTTGACTTGCATCAGCTTTAGTTAGTTGAACAAAAAAGCCTAACACCCGTTGGGTGATAACTGGTTGTTACACAGTACACTAGCTTTTCATAAAGCAGTAGAGCTGTACTACAGTAGGACAAATTCATAAACAAAAGCTCCAATGAGTGTCAGTGAGTGTTGAAATATTGTGATAACATGATTTACGGGACATTGTATTTCATAAGTGCTGCTTCATCCTTGATGAAGTGTGCAATGATTCATCCATCAAGCTTTGTCAGGTGGTGCAACACCACTGGCAAAAAGTAAGCTAATAATGTTGCATATTATGTACACATTTCAGGGTGTGCTAGTATGACGTTATAGGATGTGAATCACACCTGTGTATGAATCAAGAGGAGTGTTTGAATACTAAGGAACATTGTTTTTATAAATATGACCATCTTTTACAATGTACATGATCTTGCAACCTATGGGGGTAACATTGGTAGGTTCTTAATAATGTTTGTATTAGTAAACATTACATTTTTATTTCAGCTTGCTGTTAGAAAAATGTAAGGCTACTTCATGCAATCTTTGGTTGCGAAGAATTATTCTGCATATTCTCCAGATATGAGTTCCATAAAGCTCTGAGGTCTTACTTTGTGTCACGTATGCACTGGGTGCCATCCCAGCCACAGTAAGGATCTCTGGATAACATACAGTCCTGGCAGGTATCTCCATACTGGGAGCAGTCTGCTACATCAAGTTGGACCAGTTGACTTCCATTGTTCACATACAGCTTTTTCTGTAACGATGGACAAGTTTTCTTAATGTACTCGGCCATTTCTAAACAAAAACAAAAAACTCCACTGGAGTTAATTTACAGATCTAAGTTTGATGTTCCTTTTCAGGAGCATCTAAGTTGTTTTCCATACTCACACACCTATATGGTTTAGTGGAGGATATATTGTTCTGTAGGGAACACTGGTACTCACAGAAGATGGGTGAAGGATGAAGCTGATCTGTTCTGTGTAGTTGAATGGTCGAAACTCAGCAATGAGAAAGGTATCATTTTTATTGTGCAATACTTTATGAATTCCTCCATTGTCTGCGGAAAACCACAAAAAGAAGCAGGGATGATACTAAATATTAAAACCCATCTAAATTAGAGATGGCACGATACCACTTTTTTATGTCCGATACCGATACCGATATCATAAATTTGGATATCTGCCGATACCGATATGAATCCGATATAGTGTTTTTTAATCAACAAAACTGTTTTTTAAATATCTTGCTGCATTTTGTATAAGTTCATACTCAAGTTTAAAACAACAAGTACACTAAAGCTATTCTGTTATACCTGTATGCAAAAAAATATATTTCATAGTTCAGCAATACTGATCAATCTAATAAACTTAAACCTACACCATCCTCCCTATTCTGGTATTTTAAAGAGTACTTAGCATAAATATTAAGCAACCTAACTAATAGGGTTCCAACTCCCAGCAACAACAAAAATAAATAAATAAAAAATAGTGAACCACCCCTCACGCTCCACCTCATGATGCTTAATCGACGTAATCAACCTTAATTTGATGCAGTGTGAAAAAAAATGCACAGAAATCAATTATTTTTCAAGAAATATTAAATAGATTCAACATCTTTCTTCAACAAAATTGCAGACTGCACAGATGGTACCTTCCCAAAGGAAAAAGTACTATAGCTTACTAGGGTATATATATTAGACTTAATAGTTACTATATACAGTAATTGACTTCTATTCATTTTACATCAAATTAAAACTTTGGGTGTCAGATAATTATTTATTAAAAGCTAGACATTTTAAATGAGAATAAGAAAGAAAAGTATGTCTTTGTGCCCCCTTTTCCCTGTTAATGCCCTATCGGCCCCCCTGGCTAAACTTTGCTAGATCCGCCCCTGCACAGTTACCAGCGTCAGCTACGTAGAAAAAGATCCTCCAGTAGAAAGTAATATTAAATACATTCTAACAATAGCTGATCAAGCTTAAACGTGCTGCTGTTGTTCAGCCCCTGGTTTCCTCTTTCTGGTGCAAAGTGGGCCAAAAGCAAACTAGAGACAGGGACTCGCGACAGAAAAGCCGATCAGCTGATCATTAAGCAGTTTCATGATTGAAGTAGCAGCAGGAGAGCGAGAGGCAGTCGCTCCATATATCGCTTGTTAAGCTTAACGCAGGAATGCTTTACAAACATTCAGAGATGGACTTACACACTTGCTTTACTTCTCTCGGGATAACTTTGTCGGAGATGAAATGCCGGGTTGCTAGCGAAGCTCCACATGCTATCCAGACCACTGACAGGTCCCGCATGCCACAGCCGCTCTATCAGGTGATGCATACTGCTCTGACGTGCTAACGTTCTGAGGTGAGTTACGGCGTGTTGCAAGTTTTGTGAGGTGCTTTCGTGATATTTAATGGATCGGATTACATTTTTTATTTTTCTCCGATATCCGATCCAGTAATTTAGGTCAGTATCGGACCGATACCGATACGTAATATCGGATCGGTCCATCTCTAATCTAAATTCACAAATGCACCTCAGCCACCCCACTCTCTCTCTCTGAGGTTCTGTTAATTTTTGGTCTTCAAACTCAGGTAAACCCGTTGAATAATATTATATTCTTTTAATACATTCATAATTACATGGCTGTGATCACAGCACCTCCCGCATCAATCAAGGAGATTTGGTTACTGCACTATTTTCGCCCTGAGGTATGATCTCAGATATACACAAACATACATTATAGCATATTCTTCTTAGCATTTTTACTACTTCAGATTATTGTTTTTACTCACTTAAAGATAAGAAGATAACAGTGTGGTGACTGGTTCTCCTGTTTGGTGAGCCATCAATTTGGATGTGAGTATAGCTCTGGTGATTGAAGAGAAGAAGGCCAGAGTTTCCCACAGGATGAACCAGCTGCTCCATCTCTGAAGTCTTTTCAATCTTCTTCAGGGTTTCCACTGGAAGCTTGGTGCTATCATCAACGCACTGAAGAAATAAGGTGCTTAACTTAGACTGGCTGAACACCAGATGACTGGTCAATAAGCCTGTAAACCTCTGGTTTACTTTTTCAGTTTCCAAATGACTGTTTTAAAAACAAATCTAAAACCTTTTAATTTAGTTTTTTAATTAATTTAATATCGTAAAGGTGAAAGAAAATATTTAAAAGCTATTTTTCACTCAGTGACTACACTTAACCATTGGTTTAAATTATAATAAAGGGCTATTCTATTCTTGTCTATATACTCCGCCCCCCCCAAAAAAGGCAGGGATCTTCTTGTGATGGTAGCCGTTATTAAATTTTTCACTTTAGACCAATTTGAATATTCCATACCGTCCTTGGCCTGTCCATCTCAGCTTTTGTGTAGCCTTTGAATGGGGAGTTTGTGAAGATTTTGTCAATGTCTCCTATTGTGTAGATGCAGACAGCACTCATCCCCCTGCAGGGAGACACATTGTAGGTTTGTCTGAGACATTTGCAGCAAAATGAGTAGACTGGTCCAAGGTAAAAAAAAAAAAAAAAAAGAGAGAGTTGAAAAAGCAGCTGACCACACAGAATGAGAAAATAAGAAACTGGTAGGGAACGGCTTAAAAAGAACAAAGTGTCCTTTTATCATCATGAAAGGATATTGTTTGGAAGTTTGGAAGCAGATGATTCGATTACACAAATAGCTAGTCACAGAAACAGAGTAAATTATAACTATATCATTATTATTAGCATCAAAATAAATATCATCAGAGTCCTACCATTCATTTCTAAAGAGTGCATAAATCTTTGTATCCTGCCATCGATCTGCATCCACAGTGGAAACATCCACCAGTTCAGAGAAATGCTGTTTTCTGTTACGATCTCCACAGAAGAGCCTGGCATTCATTTGGGATGTCCAGGTAAACTGCAAATTGTTCTTGGGACCACCAACATCTGCCTAGAAGCAATGGACAGTCAATCAGTCATGATGTATTTATGTTTATTTAATTTTTAATGTTGGTGGCACTTAATATAAATTTTCAAACTATTTTGGTCTTACCATGCAAACCCGGGTCACAAAGGGGAGCCACATTTCACGGAACAGTCCATTGTCTTTGCTTTTCTCCCTATAGAAGCCATAAAGTCTGTTCTGGGAGGGATCCTCTTCACGTTTGCTGAGCACCAATCCTACATAATGCTGCTCTAAACATTGAAAGACAAAATATTTATTTGAATCCAAACATTTAGAGTGATGTGATTTCACTAAATAAGGTGTCTCTGGCTCTAACTTTATGAAAATACCTTTATGGTGGTTCTTTGGCCGCACTATTGCTTTACCAAATTTCTGAATACCAACAGATTCATCAGATCCAGAGTGTGTTATGTAGAGAGCTGCACTCTGTTCAGAATCTGGAAAAAACAGTTGCAAATGAAGGTTTTATAGGGTTGAATATAATAGCAATAAGAAAAAGAAACAACCTTTAGAATGGATTGAGTTGATTAAAGGATGTTAGTAGTTTTGACAAGAGTACAGACTTTCTGCAAATTACACAATCATTGAAAACAAATGAATGAAATAGCAGGGATTCATCAGGAGATTTATTATGGAGCATCCTCATGTAGAAAAACTCACCTATAAAAACTGATGGTTCACCCTCCTTTATGTTAAATCTTTCTATACCTTCTATTAAGTTTGCGATATTTTCAGAGGAAAGGCACATGGGGGCCTCCACTGTTAAATCCTATAAAAGAAAGCACAGCACATCTTAATGTATGGTCCCCTCAAGATCGGTGGTGACCATGGTGGCCATTTAGAAGTCGGCCATCTTGGATACAACTTTTGTTTTTTCAATGGGAAGAGGGCCATGTGACACATCAAACTTATTGGTAATGTCTCAAGAAAAACAATGGTGTGCTTGGTTTCAACGTAACTTTATTCTTTCATGAGTTATTTACAAGTTTCTCTTTGTTCACAGCCATTGACATGTCAAAGAGGTTAACACGTGAGGAGCGCATCAAAATCATGTTGATATCTGGTGAACGCAGTAACCGGGCCATTGCAGCAGATTTCAATGCAAGACACCCTACGAGACCACCCATCTCCCATGCTACAGGCAGCAAACTGCTTGCTAAGTTTCGTGAAACTGGTTCAGAGTTGGATTTGCCAAAATGTGGACGCAAGAAAACTGTCACTAATGTCCTAGCTTCATTCAGCAAGAGCCCACAGCGTAGCACTCACTGCATGTCACTGGAGAGTGGCATTAGTCGAACATCCCTTTGGCGGATTAGCTACTCACAAATGGCACCCTTACAAACTCCAGCTACTGCAGCATCTCAACGAGGATGACCCAGATCGGCGCACAGAATTTGCAGAATGGGCAAAACAAAAATTGCAACAGGACCCTCAGTTCACACAGAAGATTTTGTTCAGTGATGAGGCAAACTTTTATGTGAATGGTGATGTTAACAAACAAAACCACTGCTATTGGTCTGACACTAACCCACATTGGATGGATCCCTCCAAGGCTGTTGGAACAACAAAAGAGATGGTTTGGTGTGGTATATGGGGACAACGATAGTGGGTCCATTCTTCATCAATGGAAACCTCAAGGCCACTGGATATTTGAAATTGCTACATGATGATGTGTTTCCCTCTTTATGCACTGAAGCTGGCACGTTCCCTGAGTTTTTCCAGCAAGATTGTGCACCACCACATTATGGGTGCCAGGTCCGAGCATTCCTAGATGAACAGTTTCCTGGAAAGTGGATTGGTCATCGTGGGCCAGTTGAAGGGTCATCTGAAGGCAATTGTCTATGGTGTGAAGATATGAGATGTGCAGCACCTGAAACTACAGATACTGGATGCCTGTGCTGGCATTTCTCCTGCGGTGTTACTATCAGTGTGTGAAGAGTGGGAGAAGAGGGTTGCATTGACAATCCAACACAATGAACACATTGAACACATTTTATAAGTGGTCAGAAACTTGTAAATAACTAATGAAAGAATAAAGTTACGTTGAAACCAAGCACACCATTGTTTTTCTTGTGACATTACCAATAAGTTTGATGTGTCACATGGCCCTCTTCCTATTGAAAAAAACAAAAGTTGTATCCGAGATGGCCGACTTCTAAATGGCCACCATGGTCACTCACCACCCATCTTGAGGAGTTTGCCCCCACACATATACTAATGTGCCACAAACAGGACTTTAATATCACCAACCATTCCCATGTCATTACGGTGTATCCATATAAATGGCCCACCCTGTATTTGTGGTGATGTTAACAGTTCTCAATGACAATGATGCCAGTGTCCTACCGTGTTACAGCAAACCCTTTCATTGCCATCTGTTCCACACACAAACAACTGGTTAGCATCTTTCTTCCGGTGGACCAAAGTGATGTTATAGCTGCAATCCTTAAAGACAAGACAAATATTGTTTGTTATATTTCTTCAGTGGTCAAACAATCAAATCTAACCAACTAAATTTGTTTGTTTTACTTACATGTTCACTGCTTATGCTGTTGCATTTCTCCCACTGCATAAACTTGTGGCTCTATGTAGATATATGATGCAGGACTATTACTTTCCCATGATATTATTATGAATATTATTTCAATGATCTCAGTATAATCATTTACTGTGGTTGTACAGATTTCTACTACCGTCTTATGGTTTTGAAAGTTGTAGGTATTCAGGTATGATTGTCCAGCAGCTAAAACAGTGTCTGATTGGTCTTCTAAAAGAATCTGTACAGGTGGGTCATGGGGAAGACTGAACCGTGTCATTGCTTTTTCTAAAAACAAACCCAGCAAAAACAAGAAAAGAAAGATAAAATGTATGAATGTATTATGAGATTCATCAGGTAAACCCATAATGTAGTATCATAAACAACAAGAATGATTTTTTGCCCCTGGAAGGCAAGGAGTATGTCATCAGTTCATTTTATTTATCTGTTTGTTAGTAGTGCAAGATCCACATACCCATAACAGTTTGAGCTGATTAAATTTTGTTGAAAACCAGGTCAAGATCACACCAAATGTGAAAATCTTTATATTACGCACAATTGTTTTTATGGATCCTCTCCAAACTTCACAACAATATACACAACAGTATAGAGGTTGAATAAGTGTTTAGCCTTGAACTTCATTGTTAGTACCCAGTATATACATATATTTGAAATGCTTGATGCATGTTAGTACAGGTCTCCTAAGAATGAAACTCAAACACTTTGGTGATCCTATTTCTGCCATCCCTCTTGCACTTTTTTGTAACTCCAAAAACCATTGGCCTTGTCTTACAGTGAGAATAATAATGATAATCTTATGGTTTTCTTGCATTTTTAAAGGCACATTCTTAACTCTTTCCCACATAAAGATGGCATTTGTAAGCAACAGGTGTCCAAAGATGTATTGTGTCTACTTAAAGTAGACAGTGGTAATCCAGTTTTATTAAGTAAGATGTAAAAAAGCTGAACAAAGTTTTTTCCCACACTACTGTCAATATGAAAGTTGAACTTCTTTAGAGGTCCAGTTACTTCTTCAAAAAAAGGTTTCTGGTAGCATTGTTGGTGCTGTTTTGAAAACTTAGCTGAAGGGAGAAAATGAAACCTACCCTCTGCAGTTGTCAGAAGAGTTTACCATTGCTTACATAAACAAAATAACAAGTGCAAAAAGTTTCAGTTAGATGAAGTCTGACACTCTACTAAAATATCACGTTGTTCTGTTAATGTTATACAGATAAACTTTTTTGAAATCTTTATTTAATCATTGAGTCCCTTAGCATTAAAATCGTGGGAGACCTGCCCAAGAAAGCACGTCATGAAAAGATTTCAGAAATATAATAAACGGCAAATAGACTAAAATAAAGTAGAACAAACAAAAACATTTTTTAGAAATAAAAATTGCACTCCACAGAATTCTTCAACTCTTTAACTTTTGAACTCTATCAGGGAGACAAAACCAGTGAGACTGCGTCTTGTAAATGTTACGACGTACGAAGGGCACCCACCATAAGCAGCTGTCTGTGCACGATAAGAAATTACATAGATAAGCAGTTTATCCACTTTGTAAATAACAATATGCTAATGCGTTTAGCTAAACGAAGTCAGTGACGTGCACTGGAGGGTGAAGTAGAGTTTTGTTAATATTGTCAAAACTTAAAGAACTATGATACAGGGACAATGTGTAGAACATAGTCTTCACAGCCATTTCTGTCCAGAAGAGGGTGTGTAAAAGCTCTCTTTGCCTTTATACGTATCATTCCTAATTTCTTTTGTAACTATAGAAAAAATAGAAAATAAAAAAACAACATCTAAATCTAAACCATCATCCTGCCAGTGAGTCCTAACCACTACTCATTGTTGAAAAAATTGTCCACAGACAAACAAAGAAACATTGTAAGGCACAAAGCTGCCTTCTGTCCAACACATCGCCTTGTGGTTAACATGGGCATGTTGTCCTCCTCTGACGATAATGGAACTGCATAATACGGACTGTACGTTTGAAAGAAAGACTTGATGTTTTTTTCCTGAATCACAATGACCAAGTCATTTAATACATATTCATTCACCTCACTGCATACTTTAAAGCGCTGATAAAAATCCCTTCGCAGTCCCTTTTAACTTTTTAGCATTTGATATCTCATAAATGAAGAAAAATCATTTCCTTTTTTTACCTTTTTCTGTGAAGATCATCCTCGGAGAAGGATCAACGTTCCCCATAGCCAAATTACAGAGATGTAAAAATAACAAATATGTCGCTAATGAGAGCGTCATCTTCGTCGTTACTGTCCAAAACAGTATTTCCGTCCCTAATTACTTGCCCTTCACCTCGATGGAACACATTCTCTGGAAAAAATGCACTCAGGACTTTGGAGAAGTGCATGACAGCTGGGGTGTAGTTTACAGTCAGAGTCTCTTCGCCCGCCCACGGGCACGAGGAAGAGAGGTGTAGACAAACCAACCCTCTGAGCAATCATTTTGTCAGTTGCATAATAAAGTTCTCATAGTTGACACAGCTGCTTTATTAATCATTTAGCCTGCCCACAGCTGCATTTTATGATGTACAGTGTAACAGTGCTCATGATATTTAGGGTTAATTTTAATTATGAAGAGATTTCTTACCTTTTTTTCGAACACGTAAACAATGGAGGGCAAACAGTTTGATCATTTCAAATAACTAAAACAACATATGAGTACAGAGGAGTTATTTGAGGAGTTCTCCTTCCTTGTATGTTCCAGCTGTGTGCCACACTTTCTAGACTCTATAACACACACATCCTCTGATATGTCTCCGCTGTCCTCTTTACTCCAGAATAATTTCAGAAATTGAGAGACCCTTCAGATGACACTGATTTCTAGGTCAAATGGGGGACGGTGGAGGAGAAACGAGACAAAAAAAGACGCACAAATTGAAGAAGCGAGAAAGCACAGGTGTATCCACTATTACGTTTGATCCTATTTTCACTTTTTAATTACCTTTACCTGTATGATTGAAGTTAAGCTAAAGCTCACCCCCCCTCCTTTATTTATGCTGTAAAACAGCTTAAACAAGATTATAATACCAACATCATAGCGAAGGACAGATAAGTAAAAATGGTTAACATGAGCCATCTTCCAAAATTCTCCCGTGATCACATGCTATAGATCAGCTGCTCTCGACATGATACAATGCTTTCTTTTATCATATCCTGTTGTGCATCACAATTACTACTTAGCTGCCCCCCCCCCCCCATTTTATTTTTAAATAACAGGTCGAGTTTTTAGAACGGATGCTCTCGCTTAATACTCATATGTGAATAATGCTACTGTGTGTTAAATTTAGTGGTACATTATCAGCCTGGCTAATTAACAGTTTCTATCTTCAGCCTTTTTTTTGTAAATTTGCATATTTTGTGGGTTTAAAATGTTTTTTATTTTTTTTATTTTGTTTGTTTGCAGCCATAACTCATAATTCATTTTCAGAATCAACACCTGCAGTTGCTCTAACATGTATTGTGTTATTGTGTCAGAATACTTTGGATGTCAGACTTCAGTGACACATATCTTGTGGCAAAAGACATATTGATTGATTGATTGGTAATTTATTTCAACATGTGAACAATATGACAGGATTACATGCACTGCTTACAAGTGCTGACCAAATAGAAACCTACAAAATCGCTTCCCCTTGATGAAACACACTCAGCTACCAGAAAATAAGCAGGTGGTTCTGTGTAGCTCAAGCAACTAAAAGGGAAACGAGAAGAAAATCTCAAATTCGAGAAGGACTATGTAAGGTTTTTGGAAAACGTCATCAAAGAACGATCGACTCAAAAGAATCAGAGAATCAGCTGATGCAGCACAGCGGTACTAGATCGATATTAATCAAACAACTCTAGAAGCCTCATTGTTACACAGCTGTTCTGTTCAAACTGGCTTTTGGGACCTGATTTTCAGCGGGACAAAGTGTTTGGGAGTCAAATAATCAAAGTCAACTCCAAAGCATCTAGTGGGCAATTCTGTGGTCAGAATAAGACAAGAACTACAAATAAAAGCAGTGAAAAGCCTTAAAGGATTCTTAAAATAGCATGCAGCAATAAAAGTAGATTCAACAACTCGCCAAAATAGCAAAATAACATGTCAAAGAGAGGAAAAACAGAAGTCGAATGCTTGTAAAATTGGCACAAAGGGCTAGCTTAAAAAGGAAGTAAAAACACTGAATCATGGCAAACTGTCAGGAAGCGAGATGTTGTTCTAGGGGTGAGAGGGCAGTTACCGAACGTTTTCTTATCTCTCAACTTGAAGCATCTAGTAATTCTACCAAAGTGTGGCAGTTACACGTTTGATTTTGTAACTGCCATGGAAAGACTCAACATTAAGGCAAAGGACAACCCATGAATCAAATGAGAGAAGAAAATTCATGGATAATATAAAAACACGATACAAAACCAGAAGGTGGAATCAATCATTTCTCTGTTCGGTTTCACTTGGTCTGTCAAGTTTCTACCAAGACCCATGGAAAAACCTACTGTCCATCCACGTTCCAGTAAATGAAGTTGATTAACACTGTGAGGAGAGTTACAGATGATTTGATGATGACTATGATGATGATGAAGGGCAAAGTTCCCTTAGAGGTGAGAAGATCCAGCAGGGGTCAACGTGAAGCATCAGTATCTGATAGACTTGTAGTCAAGACCGCCTAATCCGAGACCAAGACAAGACCAAGACCAGAGGGTATCGAGACAAAGACAAGACCAAGACCAAGTCGAGACGAGACCAAGACCAAGACAAAAAAGTCTTTAAACTGCAGCCAGATGCTGCTTCGTTTATGGGTGTCAGGCATATTTATGTGTTTTTGCTTTCGCACAGCCCTCCTCACCGCTGTCTACTGTCTCACTCACTTACTCAGAGGACAGATGCACACTCCACTTGACTGTCGCGTCTCTCACCCTCTCTGTTTTTCACATAATGATATTATCCTATATCCTCGCATGTAATTGGACACAATATGGAGGGATTGGAGCATAGCTGAGCCACTGTGTGAGAGCTGAGCAGCGAAAGGAGATTAAGTGAGGGTAGAAATGACTGAAAAATTAATAAGCTCTGTTTTGATTTTTGTTCAAAAAAGAATGACTTCATATAGGAAAAAATATATATATCACATATGCAGGACACCTTAAACTAGGTTTTTAATTAAGCAGCAAGGCAGAAGAACAAAGTCAGGGTTGTATCAAAACATGAGGACTAAACCCCAATTCAACCAGACCCAGAACTGATTCGGAATTAAAACAGGACTACAACAGTTCAAAATCAGGACTACTTAGAACTTAACCAAAGATCCAGAACCAGAATCAAAACTAGATCATAGTAGCACTAAAAATCATCATAGACCTGCACTACCCTTATTTTTTAATTCTACCAAAGTCCACTATTTAGATTCAGAAAAGTTTATATAATTATTTAGCCTTGTTGTGCAAACAAGCCTGCACAACTTAATAAATATAGAATTTGAAAAGTAACAAATGGAATCTAAAAAGAAACACTAGGTACGAGATACATGTTCTGATGAGTTTTGGCAAACAACCATTTGACTAACATGTGTGTCTCACATGCTCTTGTTCCATCTCTGCTCCTCTCTCTCTCTCTTTGTTTCTCTCTCTCCCTCTTTGTGCTGACAATCAAGCCAAACACCAACATCATCAAATATACAGTTGAAACCAGGGCCCTGTTTCAGGAAGCCGGTTTAGTGGAAAAACTGAGTAAGTATACCCTGAGTTAACGAAAACTCTGGGTTTTCGGTTTCACAAAGCGAGTTCAGATGAAGCCTCAGTGAGTCACTATGACGACACACTCCGTGAAGCTAACCTGCCCCCTAGCAGGTTTACTACAACTAACCCTGACTGTCTCCGCCCCTTTGTCGGAAACCTGACTGTAGGAAGTGTCAGACATGGCGTGCCCCTTCCTTGAAGAGCCAGTAGATCGTGAAGCCCAAATTCTCCGCAGAGCTCTCCGCCGGGAGAGAGTGATCAGAGCGCGTTTGGACATTTTATCATTTCCTGATGATTTCCTGTGTGAACGTTACCGTTTCTCAGCACAATCTATAAGTTATTTGGATAACATCCTCAGGCCATATATTATGCATGTGACACATCGCGGACATTCTCTCAGTTCTGTACATATTATTTGTATTGCACTTCAGTTTTTTGCAAACGGGAGCTTTCTGTATAATATTGGTGACACTGAGCACGTTTCCAAGGCTACCGTCTGTCGGGCAGTCAGGAATGTTACAGTTGCACTGAAACGTCTCCTGTACCCGTTTGTGGTGTTCCCCGGTCATAGACCCACAAGATTTATCAAAGAGGGATGCCACAAAATTGCAGGTATCAGGATGACCAAAACTTAATTTATGATGTGGTGATACTTGGACTACTACTTAAATTTTACATTTATTCTCACGGTTCCCAGGCGTGATTGGCTATACAGATGGCACTCACATTCCAATCATTGCTCCTTCAGTAAATGAAGGAGACTATGTGAACAGGAAGTCTTTCCACAGCATTAATGTGCAGGTACATAGTTCCCTGTAGCATTTCAAACTAACAAATTATTTCATTATAGTAATGGATGCTAATTTGTGTTCTCTGCACTGTGAAGATCATATGTGATGCTGCCAACATTATCACAAATGTGGAAGCCAAGTGGCCAGGCTCTGTCCATGACTCACAAATATTCCATGAATGTACACTGAGCACAAAATTTGGACATGGTGAGTTGAGAATACTTTAAAATATATAAAGACCAATTGCTTCAGGGACATTTGAACTGAAGTGTATCCTTCTGTCTTAGGAGAGTTCACTGGCTACTTGCTTGGTGATAGGGGGTATCCATGTTTACCCTATTTGCTTACCCCTTACCCTGACCCTGAACCGGGCCCACAGCAGCGATATAATCTGGCTAATTGCAGGACAAGAGCCAGAATTGAAATGACTATCGGAATGCTTAAGGCCCGGTTCCAGTGCCTGCAAAGACTCAGGGTCACCCCAGAAAGGGCATGTGACACAACATTGCCACAATTAGAGGAGAACACTGTCCTTCTGAACCAAACATCAGCAGTGATCCAAACCATGAACATCCTGACCCTCCCACGGACATACAAGATGGAAGAGCAGTCAGAGACACCATATGTCACAATCATTTCTTTTGACCCATCACCTCAACATGTTGAAAGAAGAATAAACAGATTTTTTGTTCAACTGGCTTTATTGGTCGCCTGTGTTTCCTGTACACAAAGTATTAAAAGATGTAAACCTCATAAAGTGTCTCTGTTGCTTCCTCCTCTGTAACAGCTGTCAATGTTTCTTCATTATTTTCCTGTAGTAAAGAAATAGACAACATTGCTGTTCTACTGTAAACTCATATAATCTGTGGAGTATTACTCACAACTGCATGTTGGTCTGGCTCAACAGGAGGCTGCACCAGATGCAGTACACCACCACCATCAACTGATAGAATATGAGGTTTACACAGGTCACTTATAACTTACAAGGGACCAAATGGCAATTAACAAACATACCAATCACCTTACACTTCATTGTCATTATGCTCTCAAAGACAACCAAGACTGAGGGAAGGCAAAATCAGTCGGAAAATAACTTCACTACAAAATAATCCATTATGGTAAAGAGTTTATCAAATGAATGAGTAGCACTGCAAAGGTGACTGTGAAGAAAGGATGTATGCACATCATGTATTATTTTGAATTTACCCCCTATGTAGGCACTTGTGTCTTGCGGGGTTATTGACTCAGAGGATGTCCCCGCAGAGATGCCTTCGGCCACAGGGCGCCCACTGTTTTGGCTGAGGGCCAACTGCTCAGCCTCTGTGAGTGGTGGAGGACCCCCACCTGTTTTTCGGGCCTCCGCTTTTTTTCTGTTGGCTATAACGGGGTCACATTTGAGCATACAGAGTAAGCAAATATGTACTTGTAATGTGCTCAGATAATTTCAATAATTTCAATAATTTCAATAATTACAGAAAGAAAATTAATGTAGCCTCTAACTGCAATTGATTTACATAGGACAAACAGACCAAGCACTATGGCTCATAATACAATTACACCTTACCTGTTTGGACTATATTTTTATATTTCATTTTTACTTGCTGCCAGGAACGTTTGGGGCCTGTTGGGTTGCACCTGCGCTCACATCACATCACAAAATAAAATGTATAAAATAACAAATAAAATAACATATGATAAAATAACGTGTTAAATGGGTGGAAATCCCTCGATCAATGTTTATATTAACACTCACGCATTGACTCTGTCGGCTATGTTTTGCCATGCATGCTCCCTTTGTTTTGCAGCTGAGGCTGTGTTACTTTTTTTCTGAGAAATTTGCATGTTATCGGCATATGCTGCCATCAGAATTTCGGCCTCAAGCGCTGTGAAATACATTGACCGCGCCTTCTTTCCCTCCGTCTCCATGGTGACTCGCTTAATCTGTGCTCCGCTTATCAGGGCTTTATGTATCCTCGTCCGCGCGCTTCACTTGGGGTTAAAGCAACTCCGCGTTGATTGAACTAATTGTTATCAGCCTTTCTGAAACCGAATATTCCGAGTTGGACAGTTCGGGGTTACTCAACCCTGCGTATCATTTTTAACTCTGAGTTTTCTAAACCGGCTTCCTGAAACAGGGCCCAGATATTTACAAACTCTTCAGATAAAAACAAAAACACTTTTTAATTGTAACATCAAATCAGACTAAATGTTTATTTTTTTAGATTGATAGATATAAAAAAAAAAATATTTGTTAACTTTAAGAGTAAAGAGAGAATCTGTCTGTATTTCTTAATTGTAAATGGCACCAAATTGTATTCAAAATTGAGCCACACTTATGGAGGTCCACAATTCTTTTCCTGGTGTTTTGGTTGATATCTCTTGATTTTTTCCATGTCAAAGAAACAGGCTCTGTGTTTTGGGGGTGTCTTATGTGCGTCCACAGGTGTGCCACCAATTTACTCACATGGACTCTACTAACCTATCAGAAGCTTCTTAAGCTCGGAATGGAATCTTCTGAAGTTTTCTTATTAATTACCAATAAACTTAGTGTATATGTACTCCTAAATTTGATGAAAGTGATTCTGACATTTAACTAATTCAAAAGACATTTCAACATTTATTTATCTAAAACAAAACAAGTTTACTCTAAATTGATGTTTAACAGTAAAAAAAAAGAAAGTTTTTATGTTTTTTTTCCCCTAAAGTGTATGTAAATATCTGGTTTCAACTGTGAATATACTGCTGTGTATTGAAATTCCTCTTGTTTTGCATAGAAATATACTGAACAACATACAAAGCATAATATATAAAATAACATCTACCTGAGTTTTTTCTTTGAAAGAAGCTCCTTATGTCCATTGTTGTGTACATCAGTACATAACTGAAACCGATTTAGTTTGTTTAGCCGTGGAGAGTAACAACTGAAAATATGACTTATGGTCCTTCATTTGCAAATTTAAGATTTTATAATATATAACAATATAATACATCAACTCTGGCTTTAACATGAGAAACTCTGAATCAGAACCACACTTAGACAACACCAGATGATTGGGTTTAACTGTTGGCCCACTGCCTTGCTCTCCAGTTGTTCCTGGAGCCGTAGTTGGTACTGTGCCAAGACTTTCCTGTAACCCATTTCCTCTGATACACAGGTGTGGGTTCCTTCCTCCTCAGGTCCCATGCTGTTGATCAAATAAAGGCACTGATCTGCCTTCCAGATGCAAGATGAGGAGTTTTGAAGGTGCTGCCAACTGTACTGAGCATGACGAGATGACATTGAGCACTGCAGAAAATGCTTTGCATGAAGTCTGACTTCATTCTTTTCTGGATTTGGAATGGGACTTGTAAATTCTGTGGAAAGAACACAAGAATGTCCCTTTAGCTTGTTTTTCTCCTTATTTCTAGTCACAAGTGGAATGTAAGATCCTCAGAAAAATGACTGGACCTGCTTTTAGGAGGCAATGGGCACGCTATCAGATTTTGTAGACCTAAAAAAGAAATTGCTCAAATGTGTAATGAAAACATTTTGGTTTTCAGTTTGGAATAAAATGGGGGACTGCAGAACCAGAAATATTTTAGCATCTAAGTAAAATATGCCTTTTAGCTGTTGATAAAATATTAACATGAAAGAAAAACATTTTACCAGAGAGTAGGCATGGCACTGATAAAACTGAGGTAGAGGTTTATGGCATACAGAGACAGATATTAAATAATTCTCAGAAGACTCAAATCTTGCTTTCAAGTAGATAGCTTGGGGTACTGTAGAGATTTTGCAGTTTTCATCAATTTGCTGGAGCTTTCAGGTGTTCGATTACTTGTGCATGCGCCTGAATTTAAATACCTTGTGTAGTGTCGTCTCCACAGATGCCAAGGTTCCCAGTTGCTGCATCGTGCCACCTCCCACTATAAAGGACGATGCATGTTTAAATAAGGCAATATGCAACCATGATCCTTAACATGGATTTAAGAAATAAACAAATTATTGAAACTCAAAAACTCTATCCCATTAATTTAAAAATTAAATGATCTTTATAAAGTATCTTGACAACACACCTTCAATGAAAAGCTATTGAACATGAAAATAAAAATAAAGAAATAAAACAAACTCTCACAGTACCAAACTTTTAGATACTGCAACCAATTTAGAATCACAAATTAACTTAACATGCACCTAACACTGTGAACTGCTGGGAAGAAGCTGGACTATGTAGAGAGAACCAATGCAGGCAGCGGGACAACATGCATTGGATTCAAACCCAGGACCATTATGCTGTAAGACAACAGTGCTAACCACTGCAACACTGTATCGTCAAAAAGATGATGGAAAAAAGGATGTGCATGGTAGCACTCTACTTTCTTCTTAATGTATAGTTTATTAGTTACATGTTATTATTAATACTAATTCAAATAGACATTTCTGCCAGTGATTTCAAGTTATTTTGGCTGTTAATCATCATCAGCAGTAAGCAGCAAAAAAACGTATCGAGAAAGAGAGAAAATATAGGTGATAACTAGTGAAATATGAATATAAATGTGAACAATAAGTAATGTAGTAGTTCATCAAACTAATCACTATCACAATTCACATGTTGGTCATTATGTTAAGTTAAATCTGACCAACGCTTCAGAGGCAGTAGTAAATCTTGTGAATTATAGCGTAAGCTCTTCAATATCAGTCCTTTGGCTGGAGGACCTAAGAAATTGGCAATTTAATATTTCAGTTGATGTATAAGGAATGAATAGCATTTAATACAACTGTTAGACCTTGAATGTGGTGAGGGACAATAACTATACATAGCTTGGGTTTGTTTACAATTAGATAAAGCTTAAGGGTGTGTCGTTTAATTGTTGGGTCAACAGTTATTGTTCACAGGTCACAGGTCTGCAGGTACATAAAGTCTTACTTTGCATCAGGGGTGCAGTGGGTGCCATCCCAGCCACAGTAGGGATCTCTGGATAGCATACAGTCCTGGCAGGTGTCTCCATACTGGGAACAGTTTGCTACATCAAGTTGGACCAGTTCACTTGCAATATTCACATACAGCTTTTTCTGCAATGATTAAAAAATGTTTTCTTATTGTTAAAGGCCTACTAGTAAAAATGGAAAAAAAAAAAGAAAAAAAGAAAAGAAGCTAATATAAGCATGTAACTTACATATAAAGATGTAAGTAAAATGCTTGTCTTTATGATGTTCATAATTTTCCTTTAGTTGACTAAAACAATTATTTCCAATCAGTAAAGCATCAACAATTTCACCTTCATGGTTGGTGGGGACAAAAGTTTTGTAGGCATCATTGTTACTCACAGAAGATTGGTGAAGGATGAGGCGGAGGATGCGAGCGTGGCTGAACGGTCGATACTCAGCGATGACAAAGGTGCGACTTTCATTGTGCAGCACTTTATGAATCCCTCCATTGTCTATGGAAAACCACAAAAAAGAGGAGGAATGATACTAAATATGATGACTTTTCAAAAACACACTACCTGTTGTTTTTCTGGTCATATATTAGTACAGAGTACTTAAATACTACCTTCTGTTACAGAAACACATTAAAACATTAAAGTACATTCTTCGTAACATTTAGTGTGTCCTACTTCAAATTATTTTTTTTACTTACTTAAAGATAAGAAGATGACGTTCTGATTTCTACTTCTGCTGTTTGGTTTACTGTCAACATGGATGTGGGTATACTTGTGATGATTAAAGAGAAGAAGGCCAGAGGTACCCACAGGAAGAACCAACTGCTCCATCTCCGAAGTCTTGAAAATCTTCTTCAGGGTGTCCACTGGAAGCTTGGTGGTATCATCAACGCACTGAAGAAATGAAGTGCTTAACTTAGACTGGCTGAACACCAGATGACTGGTCAATAAGCCTGAAAACCTGTCTCTGGTTTGCTTTTTAAGTTTCTAAGATGACTGTTTAAAAAAAACAAAAAAACATTTAAAACCTTCTAATTTAGTCTTTTAATGAGTCCAGTGTTTATCTTAAGCTGTCTTAAGCTGAAAGAAAATATTTAAAAGCCTGAGCAATTTTTTACTCTGACTACACTTAACCACTTGTTTTAAATTATAATAAAGGGCTATTCTATTCTTGTCTATATACTCCCTCCAAAAAAGGTTGGAATGTTTTTGTGATGGCACCAGTTATTACATTTTATCAATTATCAATATTCAATACCGTCCTTGATCTGTCCATTTGGTCTTTTGTGTAGCCTTTGAATGGGGAGTTTTTGAAGATGTTACTGATGTTTCCTATTGTGTAGATGCAGACAGCACTCATTCCCCTGCAGGGAGACAAATTTAGCCTGAGACATTTGCAGCAATATTGCTATTATTTGCAGTTAGTGGCAGCATTAAAAAAAAAAAATAAATCAAAAAATACATAATATGAGTGAAAAAGAACAAATACACACACAAGATAAAGATAGTTGCACTCTGGTCTGAGGCATTTGGAGGCAGTACAAGTTATTTAAGAGTTATACCGTTTGTTTCTAAAAAGTCCGTAGATCTTAGTATCCTGCCACCGATCTGATTGCACAGTGGCCACATCTACCAGTTCAGAGAAACGCTGCTTTCTCTCAGGGTCTCCACAGAAGAGCCTGGCATTCATCTGGGATGTCCAGGTAAACTGCATGTTGTTCTTAGGACCACCAACATCTGTCTAGAAGAAACACAACTTATTAATAATTGGAAGAATATTTATGCAAATATAAATCTTGTTTTGTAAAGTGGTTATGTGGTTACTGATGCTGTTCATTTTTTTCTGTTTTGGAAAAATGTAGGCATTACCTATTTAATTCAAACTTCCCCATTCATTCTGCTCTTACCATGCAAACCTGGGTCACAAAAGGGAGCCACATTTCACTGAACAGTCCAGTGTCTTCACTTTTCTCCTTATAGAAGCCATAAAGTCTGTTCTGGGAGGGATCCTCTTCACGTTTGCTGAGCACCAATCCTACATAATGCTGCTCTAAACATTGAAAGAGAAATATTTATTTGTCTCCAAACATTTATAGTGATGCGATTTCACTAAATAAGGTCTCTGTGGCTCTAACTTTATGAAAATACCTTTATGGTGGTTCTTTGGCCCCACTCTTGCTTTACCAAATTTGTGAATGCCAACAGATTCATCAAATCCAGAGCGTGTTATGTAGAGATCTGTACTTTGTTCAGATTCTGGAACAAACAGTGGCAAATTGAGGTTTTATAGGGATGTACAAACAGGGAGAAACTAGTTCAATATTATAGTAATAGGGAGAAGAAGCAACCTTTAAAAGGGACTGATTTAAATAAAAGATGTTAGTAGTTTTGACAAAAGTACAGACTTTCTGTAAACACACAAGAAGGATTAAAATTACAGACTCATAGAAAAAGGTGAATGAGGAAGGAGGGATTCATCAGCAGATTTATTCAAAAGCATCTTGTGTGTAAAAAACTCACCTGCAAGGGCCGACAGGTCACCTTCCTTTATGTTAAATGAGCTTATATGTTTTATTAAACTCTCCTTGCATATCGGTGACTGCTCTGCCAAATTCTATTAAAGAAAGAACAGTTTATCTTAATGTTTCCCAACTAATGTACATCACAGATAGCACGCATATATATATACCCAACACCCTGTACCTGTGATGTATTTGCTTTCTTTTCAGAAGAAGGTTGTTTCAATTAAACCAAAGTAGAAGTAACTTATCAACCCTGAGCAGAAACACCACAACTACCATTTCCCAGTATTATATCAGTCCTCTGTCACAGTACTCTGTCCTACCGAGTTACAGCAAACTGTTTCATCGTCAGTGGTTCCACACACAAACAACTGGTTAGCATCTTTCTTCGGGTGGACCAAAGTGATGTTATAGCTGCAATCCTAAATGACAAGATGAAAATTGTTTGTTAGATTTCTTGAGTGGTCAAAAAATACAATTTGACAAACTACTTCTTTTTATTTTTTTGTTTATCTGTTCACTGCTTACCTCACTGTTGCAATTCTCCAACCGCATAAGTCTTTGATTCTGTGGAAATACATAATGCAGGACTATTACTTTTCCATGATATTAATATGAAGATACATTTATTTCAGAGCATTCAGTACAGTAATTTACTGTGATTATACAGCTATGTTCTACCTTGTTCTGGTTTTGAAAGTTGTAGGTATTCAGGTATGTTTTTCCAACAGCTAAGGCAGTGTCCGGCTGCTCTTCTAGAAGAATCTGTACTGGTGGATCTTGGGGAAGACTGAACCGTTTCATTGCAGTTTCTAAAACAAATTTTTATTTTTATTTATAATATGTGTGTGTGCGCAATATATATTGAAACTGGACAACGTGCTCAGATGCTCAGAGATTTCTGGAAACCAAAATAAATTTGGTTTTGGTTTAAGAACCAACTTTAAACCAGTTCATCATATGTGCAGTCAGGAAGTCCTAATGAGAAACATGCTCTTCAGACAAAGTCCTCCTGAGGTCATGTAGAGGGATATAAAATATCATTTTAACAGTGGTTTTTTCTTAGCAAATACTTTGGACAGATGAACAAATGAAGCAACATTGTGTAGCACAATATCTCATTTTAATTCATAACATTAACATTACCATTGTCACCACTTTCGATCACGTTACTCACACTTAATGGATTAAATGATATCGACTCTATCTTCATGTGTTTGCATTTCATTTACACCTTTTTTCCTGCAGAGCTGTCTTTTAACTATTTAAAGAAACACAACATCACTGCCACCACAACAAACAAAAGTTGAAGCCAGTATGTTAAATCAACATCGCAGTCTAAATCTAGATTCATTAGCTTTCATTTAATCAATCTTGAAAATTAGTGGTCATTTTTTGACCACTTTTGAAAAACCACTTACATCACAACTAAAAATCAACGGTGCTCTAATAATATTTTAGCTTACACTAAACACAGCAACTTATTAACAACTAACATCGCTGAGTCGACCATTCAGCCACAAACTAACAACTTACATATCACTGTATTTCTTTATCTAAAGCAGTGGCGTTCCTTCGAAAATCAAAGTAAGTAGTTCTTGTAAAGTGAAATCTACACTTCAATTAAACCAAAGTCAAAGCGTGTCTCTCTGTACCTCAATAGGCATTCTGTCTAGTTGGCTGCTTGCACAATCCCTTCAAATACTGACATCTTGTGGCCACAGTTGGCGATTGTCTCTAGAAGAAGGCTTGACTTTTCATTTAAAAGCCACAAATCTAGAGTTTTGAAATTATGCTACATAAATAGTTTTATTTAACATTAGGCACTGAAATAAATTAAAATGTTTTTTTTTTATTTTTTAATTGAATTTAATTTCTGATGAATTCACTTATTGAACGATGTCCTACAGAAGAGGATTAGGGCCACTGGAAAAAAAAAAGTGGACATGTCTTTTTTTTTTCTTCTTTTCCAGAATTCTGACAAAAATGTCAGAATCCTGAGATCAAAGTCAGAATTTTGATTAAAAAAAAGTCAAAATTGTTTTATATTTTTATTTGTTCCCATGAACAAAAATTATAGTGCACACATTCTTTCTATACTTTAAAATTAAGATTTTCCCTTTCTTTTGTGTTTCTGGGTTTATAACTTTATCCTGACATTTAAAGTATTGATGTAGAACTGAAGAAAACAAATATTACCTACCTTTTTCTGTGAATATTATCCTTGGTGAAGACGCAAAGTTTGCCTCAATCCGACTACAGAGGAGTAAAAATAATAAATATGCCGCTAGGCTCATCTTTGGGACCGTCAAGCACGGTTGTCTAAAGATTTGAATACGATTTTGTGAAGAAAAACAACAACACACAAAAATACACGTTCGGATTGCCCAAAAAGTCCTATTTTTTTTTCTTCTTGTTAATAGCCAGGGGCCTACGCTGGGGCAAGAGGGGGGCAACGCCCCTTAAATCAAACTTTTAGAAGCTGAGAAAGAAAATAATAGATTACCCACAAACTGAATATGGACAAGATTTAGCAGATGAAAAATCCACTGGAAAAGGCACAGATGAGATGATAGCTTTCACCTCTTGTTCGTTCTTTCCACTCCGTGGTCTGTTTGTGCTCTGTTCTGCGTAGGCTTAAACAGCACTCGGCAGAGATCTCTCCCCCTGGGCAAACATCCAGTCACGTATGCAAATGGCCCAGTGTCAGGCAGGGCAGAGCAAAAGGAAATAGCAAGTCTCTGTCGTCAAAATAATAGCGACTCGTGAGATAATTAACAAGTAAAAAACAAACAAACAAAAAAAGGTCTATATTTCTACAATCAATGGGGTACTAGTCCATTGTTCTTCTCACACTTTCAGTCTGGCAGAGAAGTTTTTTCTTCTCGATCCAAAAAGCACCACTGTGAGCCTGTCTGCTGAGCCGACTCGACTGGAGGACGTGTTTGTCAGACCCCGACACAAAGCCCCGCTTCAGCTTTCAACTCTGAGCAAACTTTAAACACACTTAAAATTTCTTCTGAAATTTTTGCTTTCTAGTTTCATTATATACTTTAGCTCAGGAAGCAAAAAAACAAACAAAAACATTTATATGTATACATGTATTTAATTGATGTATCACAAATATATTACTTTTACCAGTCAATGGGAGGAAGGTAATTTAGAACCTGTGGAGCAGTGAGGAGGGAGAATAATGGAATAGAGTCATGGTTTTAAATGGTAAATATGAAATTATGTTTCCTGTCTGTTACACAAGCAAAGCTGTCAGCTGGCTTGCACACCAGGATAATGCAATGTAGTGATAATTGGAAACTCCTATTGCAGAAGCAAATGTTGGAGAAGACCTGCTCTCATCACTTTCACGAGATGACATCAAAGATCTGTTTCCTGGTCCTGAACATTTCCTCAGACGTCGGGCTCTATGGCTTGCAGTGCACAAATGTGAAGAAGTAAGTTATGTCCTATCGCTGTGTGACAAAACTGAGAACACACCAGTTTGTTTTATGCAGTTTCAAGTAATTCCACCAATGCTCACTTAACAGAAAGTAGAAGAGATGTTGATCATCTTCTTTAGTTTTGACTTAAATCAAGTGGCCTACATATTTAACACTTACTGATATTGTGTTGTATTTTCTTTCATGTGTAGAGACCTAAAGTTCTTGTGCAATTTTATGTGAAAATTAGCCCTGTGTACACTGTATTTTAGAACAAGACTGCTGCTGAAAAAACGCTAACAACCACTGGAGATGGTGACTTCTCCAGAGAAGAACCCAGCACTTCTAAGTTTGTAACTATGTCCAACCCAGAGTACATAGTCTTCACAGACAGTGAACTTGAGCAAGCTCGACGTTCCTACTTTGAACAGAAGCAGCTGGGGACAGAGTGTGCTGAACCTTTGTCAAAGGAACTCTTTTGTCGACTCGTAAGAAACACCATGACAAACATGATTTCGATAGCAAGAGCAGCTGAGGACTCCAGATATCCCAGCAAACATGAGGTTGATGCCTAACAAAGCAATTGATGGAGTACTACCCAATGCTTAAAGAAACGTGGGGTGACTGGGTAAGTAGCATTTTCTCACTATCACTCTGTGTTAATCATGGGTGATGTGTGTTATCATCTCTTAATTATTACTGTTTGTACCTGTTAGGAGCATGTTGCTAAAAAGCTAATGAAGAGACTCTCCAATGTTAAAAGTCCAAGGAAGGGCAAAAAACCTCCTTCGAAGAAGCCAAGAAAGGATGGGAATGAAAGCGTTGCAAGAAGTGACAGCAGTGAGGAATCCAGTGCATCAACTATTATTCTAGATAAATCACCAGTTAGATCGATGGGCATCCCAGTGCACCACCAGGATGGCATTGATGAAGAATATAAGTATGATTTAATGCACCCTCTTAATACACCTTGAGTGTATATGTGGTTTAAGGGATACTTTTTTTATTTTCTTAAAAATTCCGCTAACAATAGAACCCATCTACTTCACTGTTTATGTTGGAATCTTTGCGTTCCATTTAATAGTGACAACTTGACAGGATGAATGAACAATTTGAGGATAGGTGGTTAGTTAATTTGTTGATCTAATTTACAGATATATTTTTGGTGTTTTTGTTTTGTTTTGCACCAATAACAGATATATAAAGCCTTACTGTTGCAATAAATAATTTACACACCTCTGCTCTGTGTGTTTAGCTGGTTCAGCTGACTTCTTTGACAGCCAAAAAACTCAGGCAAGACACTACAAGACTCTCCAAGATATATAAAAGACCCAAAAACCAAACCAATGCTGTAAAGGAGCAGGACAGAGCAGTGAAGATACCAGAGGCATACCTTTGTTTCAGAGATCTGGATCATGTAAGCAGCACTTATTTCTTTTAGCCATCCTGTTATTCCTTTGGGGACATTTTGATTGTCATCAGTTATTGTCAAGACCACACACAGAGCTAGATAGATCTCTTAGTTGGGTTTCTGTTTGTATTTTTCAGGTCCTGGATGACCTACAGAGAATTATTCAACCATCCAACTCGAAATACATTTCTGAGATGAAGGATAGATGGGAAATCTTCTACTCGAAGGTGCAGTTCTATGGTGTCATGAAGAAAGTTATGAAGCTGCCAAAAACTTTGAATGGAGGTAATGCTACAGTATCTTGATTTGTCTATATTTATGCTTTGCAAATTACATTATTTGCAATGCTTAATGGTGTTGCCCTGTCTTATTTTTCTTTTTTTCAAACCAGTGGAACATGCAGCAGCTGTGTTCAGAGCCCTTCCAATGCTTTTCCCTTCCAGCACAGTACCACCTAAGAAGCTGGGCGTCTGTAGTGAGGCTTTTTTTTCCATGTCCTAAAGGCAAGGCTGCAATATTCTATATTTATATATTATTGTATTTTGCAGTTACTCATGCTTTCCTTTTATATATTTTACTGTGGAGTCGGTCTAAATATTCTTAAAGTTCAGATCCCCATAACATGTTGATGTTAATGTTATGTAATCTTTCAACTTGTTCTTCTAAAAACTTGTGTAATATAGGATAAAAACTTATGTAATTCAAATGCAGATTGTTTTAAGCTGCAGCTAAATTTATTTTTGCTACCAGAGTATGTTATACTGATATTATTCCTGTTAAGAGTATCTGGAATATGCACTTTTTATATTGACGATGTTACACAGTACCCTGCTGAAATGTAGATAATGTTAGACATGATTCTCCTGGAACTGACCTCAGTACTATTAAAATTGAGTTACTGACCCATTGCTGTGTCAATAAAAGCGCAAAAACTAAGAGTGTGTCTGCTGTCTTAATTTAAGATGAAGTCCTTTATTTTTAGTAGCTTTTGAAGAGATGGTGTCTTATTCTCAGGAATTTTTGCTAATTATTGTTCTCAGAGGTGAAATATATTTCTAATAGTTAGTTCAATCAAGAAAGAAACAATTCAGTTTTAAGAAAATTTGTCCTATAGTAATTTTTTTTTTGTTATGTGGAAAATCTACATTAGGTGTAGAATCTTAAAGTAAGCAAATAATTCTTGAAAATAGCTTGTTCAAGAAAGCATAATACTCGATTTAGGTACAGATTTTCTAAATATCAAAGTGTCTTTCCTTATAATAAGTCACATTTTCTTCAATTAAGCATACATTTTAGACAGTTTTATCTAGTTAAAAGGCATACAGCAGTTAGCAGTTTGCTAGTTTTAAGAATTCTAGTCAAGCAACTTTTGCTTACCCCATTGGCAGATTTTTTTCCTCAAAACAAGAAAATTTTGTTAGATTTGAGAATATTTGGCTTGTATCAAGTATAACTGTTTTTGCAGTGTGATGAGAGAAGGATGAGAAGCTAGTAAGCATTGCTAAGGGAATCCCAAAAGATGCAAAATACACATCTAAGGATATCCAAAATGAAATTATCCCAACACTGGCTGAGCTGCACACATTTTATGTAACAGTACGGGTAATTGGTGTGTCTTCAGAATTGTGGGAGAGCAGTTCAGTTCCAAACAGAGTTCAGTTCCTTGTAAAACAAGCAAGCTTAAGATAAGAAAAAAGAAGAAAAAAGTTCAAGTGTTCTGTTCTAAATCTGTTGTGTTGTACAAATTAGTAGACATGGTGAATTGTTGTTGTTTTTAAAATTACTATGCCAACCCTTTTTTGTTTTGTAAATCTGGCTTTTATTCCTACTTTAATTTGCAAATTTATTTGAGAATTAGGCCATGCAATTAAGATAAATATTATTTTGTTGGTTGCAAAGATCTGGATGGATCATTTATTTTATTCTTTATTTTTTATTCTATTTTTCTGTTTTATTTTTCAAGACTTGGTAAATTTACCTTTTTTAAATAACTTGGCTCACCCTTTTTAGTTTTGTTAATATTGGCAATAGTGAGAAGTGTTATTGTTGGGTTTGAGTATATTTGATATAGGTCATCCAGTTGAGGTAAATGTCATGTTTTTAGTTGTTATAATCTGATGAAGATTATTTTATTTTATTTTTAAGTTTTCCCCCTGAGGGTTTGCCACCTTAACGTGGTCATGGGGTTTGCTGTGTCAGTGACCCTAAGAGCTAGACCAGCAGAAGCATAGCCTTCAGGTGGGACACCCAAGTTGGACAGGTCTTAGGGTAGCGGCTTGACAAAGTGCAATCCAATTGCATGACAAAAACAGTTATCCAGTCTGCAAGAGTGGAAAAAAGGTCAGGAGGTTTTCAACAAACCCACTTCACTAACAGACTATAATACACATGTGGAAATGTCTTAAACATGCATTCCTTATAACTTGCAGAAGGTGACTCTTTGTCTTAAAAAGAACTCCAGTTGTTTAGAAGACTGCAACAAGTTGCTCAAGTACTCACTTGGTATATGATTGTTATGTGTTGCATCCTCCTCCCATATGCGCTTCTAGTATTGCTCCTTCTACAGCTTTGATGGGGATGTTCTCATATTGTTCCCACTGAGAGTACACCTTGGATGGTTCAGTGGAATTATCTGTTTTATTCTGGTTTCTCTCTCTCCTATCTCTCTTAAAGTGGCTAGCCAAGACTTTAAGTTTTCACTTCATAGCTTCCAAGGCCACAGATGTGGATAGCTTGCTGTACTTCTTACACATCCCTTTCTTCATCACAC